AGGGTTTATCCTTGAGAAGATTAAGCTTTCTAAAATCTTGTTCCGATGGGTAAATATGGTACCTTTACACTTTTTTGGGATATAAATGAAAATCCATTTGGCGCGCAGACCCCTTGTGATGTCATCAATGTTGAAAGGGGGCGTGGCTGCACAGTATAGGAAACACCCAGGGGTCTAGACACCAGTGGCGGTTGATGGGATCGAGAGAATGTTGAGGATCTGAATGAGATGAGTGGACACTGGAGGTGATCGGGGAGGAGGAGGGTCAGCTGACTGAGAGGGAGGAGAAAACACTACGTTTGACAGAAACGACATGATTGGCTGTTTGAGATCATGGCAAAATCTGATTGGATTACCATGAACACCCAACGGTCTGGATTGGAAGAGACAGGGAGTCCTCTAGATGTCTTGGTTTGTGTTGGAGGCCCGAAGAACAAAAGTCTTTCCCAGAGAAATAAAACAGAAAAGTCACAGAAAGGATAAATATTTTTTTAGATACTCAAAGTTTGTCACTGAAAGTCCTGAACAAAAGCTCTATTATCTAAAATCTACACTGTTTTGGGAAATTATCAAGACGTGTTTCATTAACAGAAGCTCTCACACAACTTACAGTGCTCGGACTTTGGCTTTTATACCCTCTATGTGTCTCCGTGGCCTCCTGCTCTGCTTCCCGTCTCATTTTATCACCAGGGCGCCTCCTCGCTTTGTATAATCTCCTCCTCCATCTGTCTCCTCAGCCCCTCGCACAGCTCCTCTGACCTGGCACGCCGCCCCACCTGCTCCCCCTGCCACCGCTCGCCCTCTGGCCTTCCCTCAACCGCCGACTCCCCCGTAAGTCTCCCCTGCAGCCACGGCAGAGGGGCGTGAGGGGGAGAGGTGATGGACAGGTGTACAGAGCGGACAGATGCTGGGGGACGAGAGGGGTCCATGCAGCCCGAGGGCAGGTAGGAGGATGAATTTAGGCTTTGCTGCTCCACCTTTCCCCAGAGTGCAATTACTCTCCCTGGGCAATGCATACCCTGCTAAACTGCCAAAATCAAATCCAATCTGTCAGGGCCGGCTGAGATATTGGATGCTTAATGTACATCAATAGGTTCACCCTCATGTTAACTTGCTATGGAAATTGCCAGAGGGGAAGTGTGTGGAGAGCAGGAAGAGGAGAGGGTGCGAAGAGATGATGAAGAGTAGAGGGATGTAGGGGCTTATATATGAGAGAGCGTCGCCTATCTTAAGTTGATATTCTATATGGATGAGGGCTTATGCATCAGTGAGAGAAATATCAGCTGCTCCGTGTCAGCAGCAGCAGAATATGATGATGTGACAGATCTTTACTGCGTGTTAATCTTCCCAGCTATATTTGATAGATATCCATGTGTGTGCCTCCACATCTGGAGCGAATAAGTCGGGATCAGACTCCAGAGTGAAAGGAATCCTCCGCTGCTGTGCTGCTCCCTGGTTTCAGAGCATGTGCAGGGATACAGGTGCCAATTATTTCCACATCTAATGTAAACCAGAGAACAAGGACGCGTCAATCACCCCTGCCGCCCTTTTTGGAATGGAAATGGGGGGTGTATTCACAGGAACGCGGCTATTTTGGCAGCTGATGAAATGGTTAGGTCGGGGCTTACGAAAATATTCCTGCAGATTCTGGCTCCGAGAGGAAAAACCTCAAGTCATCTGAACTGCAGACTGGTTCGCATACGGTGGATAATGAGTAGAAAATGCGGTGATGGGAAAACGACATACCACTAGTGCCTGTGAACGGGCTTCATTTTTGATGCATGCTCATGAAGACGTACTATTTGGGGATTTTGCTCGCGTCCTCACTAATGTTACCAGGAGGAGCAACTGATCATCTACAAACAATAACGTCCAAAGAACCACCGTGGAGTATTAAAACAAGACGGTCTGCAGTCATGGCTCTGTGAGCTAAATGTCTGAATGCCTATATGCTGTTGTTAAGAAGATTTTCTCCGTTCACTAAGATTTGCTAATCGAACACAAAGAACATCATTCATTTGATCATAAAAAAAAAAACAATGGACAAACTGGAATTCTGACTTGATCAGAACTTCTGATAAAAAGTTAAAGGGCCACTAAGTTATTATAATTTATATTTAATATTCCAAATTTCATGCCAAAGATACATTTTACTTAAAGTCAGCGTCAACAGTCCAAAGATGGACGACATGACAGTCCCCCAAAGTGAAGCCAAAGCATTGCAGTGTAGGTTGTGAATCCTGCCTCCCCCATGTAAGCGGATGGGACACGAACCAAAATAAAAAGTCAAAGTAAATATTCAATAAATGTTTCCCAAAGATGTTCCTGTAATTTTGGGTTTAAGCATCCATGTTTCTGCTAAGTTTGGTTTGCATTAGTTAAAGAGAGAGCGAATGGGCGGGACCTGGCTGGACAGTGGGAGGAAGTGGATACGCATCGTCCATCTTTATTTACTGTTTGTGGTTTGAAATGATCTCATGAGTATCATCCCGCTCAGGAGGATTGATACTGAAGATAAATGCGCACCGCAGCCAGTTTATTACCTGAGGCTCCACATGTACAGCAGGTATTTATCACTAATACAATCCAACCTGGGACGAATGGATTCACCAAGATCACATCACACGGAAAGTGTCACATTTCTCAGAGCCTGAGCTGTAAACCGAGAGAAGAGCAATTACAGTGGCTGTTGTGTATATACAGCAGATAATCTATTAACTATAACAACTCTGCTACAGTGGGGTGTCAGAGCTGGGTCAGAGAGAAGTCCCGTGCCACGCGTCTGCCAAACCCATTAAAAGTCTCTGGGAGATAAAGGAGCCCTCCCTTTGACATTCTGAGAAATGCCATGTATGACAACCTCTAAAAGCAGGAAATCTGTTCCCTCTGCTCCATGTTCTATAAAGCCTTTTTTCTCTTTCAAAGGCGGAATGAGAGCGACAAACCAGAGAGCGGGGGGGTGGGGGGTGGGGGGTAAATCACAGCACTGAGTGTTTGCTTGAGTGCTTCACTGTGGGATTAGAAGATCCAACAAGCAGACAGCTATTTGAATAATTGTTTTCAAATGTCTTTCTTAATATCAACATCCCATTACTTACCATTCTGCACACTATCTTGTCATGAGTGATATGTATGTGTGTGTGTGTGTGTGTAAGTCTAAGGGGAGGTACTTATGCACGGCCATGGAGGATGCAGCGTAAATGGAAGCACAGAAACACAGAACACTTGATGTGGATTGGCTCATTAACTGCACAAGTGGAAAGACGACACCGCGGCCACCTTGGGATGAAGATAATAGCTTTGCTGTCATCTGTGTGACGGTGCTGAGGTTTCGCCAACATGGTTTTAGGAAGGCAGCACAGACAAACGTTTTCTATACACGACACTTCACTTTGCAGCCTCTATTAGATAAAAGGGACTTGATCGCTGAATGTTAAATATTGAAATCAATATCTATCGCATGCAATTTGTGGTTTTTAGCCCAGGGGCGGAACTGTTATGACAAGGGAAACACAAGCTTAATTTAACATTGAGGAATAGTTTTACATCTCAGAGGTGCACAGTAATGGATTTACCGAGTGTTGCCTGGTGTGGAATAACTGGACTGTAGGATAGTTGTTAGCCTTGAGGCACAGAATTTGATGGGAACAAACGCTGTGCCATGATATTACAGCTGAGCAGCACTGATTCACTGAGTGCCCGGAGGACAGCAGACACATTGTGGTATCAATCTACATCCCGCACCCCCAAATAGGACAAAACTGTTTTTCACTTCAGAGTAAAACTCTCTCCCTCATTCTGCAGGTATCTGATTCCAGAGCTGACAACAATTATTAACTATTCTATCTACTACTAATCTACTATTTACTTGTGCTGCTTTCTTAATAACATCATTGAATTTATAAGAATCAGTCTCATTTTAATTCTAACAACCGGTCTGAGAGTTCGGATATGATGGGTGCACAACTGTTCCTGGTCTCTCTCACTTATTCTGCAGGTATCTCTGACTCCAGAGCTGTTCAAACAAACATCTTTCTTTTTATTTTTAATTTCACAGAAAACTGTCTGAGAGCTTAAATATGCTGGTGACAACTGTTCCTGCTCCAGTAAAAGGGAGTTTTTGCTCATTGTGGGAACTGTTGGGTTTCTCAATACTATAGTATGGTCGAAGAGATAATGCATAGATAAAGCAACTTCCAGCTCTGGTATGGAGGGAAATACACTGCAGGACTTTTTAGATGCAGGTTTAATGACCCAGGCCGTGAAGTCGGAGTCCACAAAATCATGATGTGTGGAGCTGAGGGGGAACGGTGATCCCAAAAATCCAGTGCCACCTTATTTTATGCATTCCCTCTAACACATCCCCCAAGTTCTACTTCCTGGATACAAGGAAATCTCATGTGTGTCTGTAAAAAGTCTCACAGTTCATTTTACATGACAGAAAATAAATCAGCAAACCAAAGAAACTTGTGTCATTATCACACCCCATCCCTAATGGCCAATAGCAGACACCAGAGAAAATAAGAACCTGCATATCGCTCATCACTCACTCACACTCTGGGAGGGCTGAGATTTCAATGAGTCCGGAGCATCAGACAAACAAGTAGCAATCACTGCACTGCTGGATTATTTATTGCACTCATTTTTTCCCCTCCGTCTCTGCCCCCAATCTTCCACCTATACTTTCCTCTCCCAAGGCGGACACGGTCGCTAGGCAACCTGCACAACACAACAGCTCTCCAACTCGCTCCCTGCTCAGGGCGCCCCTGTGGTTTTCAGACAATCAAACACACGAGTGTGTGCGCATTCATACGGCGCGTGTGTGGGAAAAGGTGAAAGTGATGAATAGTTTCCAAGTGAAAGCCAATAGTCCCTTCAGCTTTTTAAGAGCCGCCTCTTGACTCGAGTGTAACAGCTCTTTGCATTCGTCGGGGATTTATTACAGGGCGTCCAACTCTGAACCTTCTTCAACAAAAAAAGAGACAAAAACAGCAAGAGCGTGAATATGTGAGGACATATGCTTTTAATTCACTGCTGCTTGAATAAAACCACCTGTTGCAGATACTTACTGGTAGAGCATACATTTGTGTTGTTTTCTGTAATAATAGCCGACAGATAGCAGCTGCTATTGCTTGGCAACACAATTCTAGAAAGTAAAACCTGAATCAGCAGGGACATCGATTCATTATCGATTTATCTAAAAATATCAGGCTTTGGTTGGAGCATGCCGAGCCTCTGACCAACCTACAGCAAAGTACACCCCACTGATGGTAACATAAGCGTGAAGCAAATCACTGTAGCGCATTATTAATGCAATTACTCCGATACAATGTGTTTTGTGCTTCCACATCACTACTCACACAGTACAAATACAATCTGAGCATATCCTGTAGAGGAAAACAGTGGAAGTGACAACGCTCATTTTCCATGTGCACCCATGAATGGCATTTTCACAGATTGTGATGAGGTTACGGTGATCACGCCAGCTGCTTACAGAGTTTACATTAGGATAGGGAGAACAAGATTCATCAAGGATTTACAAAAATATACATTTTGTGGGCATGCACAGAGCAGACGTGACGACTTTTTGCGTCCAAGAGTTTAAAAAAAGCGGAGACACCCATCAGTTTACAAAAGCAAAGCTCAAGAACAAATGGCACTTACTGTGACTAAAGAGCAGTTAAGAATCTCCAGGGCAGCGTTACAGCCACGAACACACACGCAAGTAAACGGACACTCGCGCAAATACAAATCAAAATCACAGGTGCGATCACACCACAACCACTCAACTCTGTCCCAACCAAACCATTCATAAAGGATAAAAAATACAGGGAAATACCTTTCTCTCACAAATTCAATAACAAAGAAGAGGAATATCAAGCCGCAGTCCATTACTAATGCAACCCACTTGTCATTGACCATCGTCGATGCATAAAGCTCAAATTCTTACCACACTGGCATTGGAACAAAGAAAACTTCTGCGACTGTACTACTTGTAAACTTGTAGGTGATATGTTTAGATTTAATTTCAAAGATGTATTTGAACAGTGAGTGTACAAGACCCAGTAATTATGGCCCACATCAGGCCTTAATGTTGCTGATGGAGAAAAGGATTTAACTGACCCATAATTTGTTTTGTCCACATCAAAAATTCCCCAAATAAACCTCACATTGGCAGGTGTAACTTAATTTTTGTCAGTTGGCTGAACTCAGAAAGCCTCAGGTCTCTGCCGCCGTGTTGGGCTCCAGGTTCTCCTCTGTAGCGGGGCCGAGCGGTCCGGCCCACCACAGAGTCAGGGCGTTGTCTCGTCGCATCTCCTGCTGGGTCAGCACGGCTTCAGCTCCCTCGCCGTCAGAGGCCGATTCACCATCGCTGTCGCTGGGCCACGGGAACTGCCGCTGGCCGCTGGAGGTCGCCAACAACGGCATGAATGGATGAATACTGTGGGTCAGGAAGAAAATTAGGAATGGGAGGAATGCCAATGCAAAGACAATTTGGATTTTTGTCAGGGCAGCGGTACAATTGATTCATTGCACAATATTATAAAAACTGAATCAATCGACACTAAAAACTACAGATTCAATGTCGGTCATAGTGTATCTTCATCAGCTGCCTTCATCTCTACTGTTGAGGATATGCTGACAATAGATTAAGTGAATTGCTGGATTTTTCTTCGGCACATACAGAAGCTGTGGTTATTGTACTCACGATATTGCAGCTCTGTAATTGGACTGCTCCTCCTCCAATCTAAAAGTTTTTGTGAAATGATCGTGTGACCCAAACAGGAGAAGTACCTGTATTTTCTTCTTTCTTTCTCCTGTTTACAGTTACTGTTCTCTGTTTGTAACCACGTTCAGTGTGAACTTTATCCACCAGGACTAAAGCAGTATGATGAAATAAATGTGTGGCCAGTCAATGTGATGGTTTACACCTTTCAATAATCATACCTGATGCCATTGGTGCAGTCCCAGTGGGCTTGGAACCTCAGCTGGGATTGCAGTAGCTCCTCATTACCATCAGGGGGAGCTGTTTGGGTGTCCCACACTGACAAGACTCCCTCTGTGTCACCACTCAGCAGGTACCTGCCTGACCTATATAAACACACACACACAGAATGGTCAGGCCATGTTACTACACAGGCAGCAAACTGCACTGGATGAATGTCCCTTATCTCTGTATTTATTTTTTATTTTTAGATTTCAGGGCAGCATCACTACTTTGTCACAGTTCACGCTCACAAACACATCCCTGAGTAGACTTCTAACTATTCTGCTTTCAGACATACACTGAGCTGCTGAAATAATCCTGTGGGGCAGTATGTGCGAACGCAACTGTGTGAAATCAGTTGACCGGACAGTATCTGGAGTTTTTCCTGCCAGCAGGAAAATATCAGGAAAATTCACGGCGAGCGGCCGTGTTGTTGATATTTCTAACGTACGACAGATGCAAGACTAAAAGAACAAAAAACAAAGACAGTACAAATATCCCAGGATGAAAATGACGTGCCATAAAAAAAGGAAAATGCAGGAGATGAGGTCAACTTCAGATAGCGAAATTCAAGGGTCAACGCAGTGTTGATGTGCTGTAAAAGAAGTGATTTCTGCAGTAGAATTTACACATGTCCTGCCTCCTGCGTGCTCGACCCACATTATAATCTCCTGCTGCATTGTTCATATGTGAATGGCAAAGTCTGCACCCGATGTTCACACATTGTCCAGAGTGACTGAAAACAGCTTTAGCAAAGAAAACTTACAGGTCCAGGTCAAAGTAGATGCGCTGGTTAGTGGCGACGTTCCTCTTTAGTGAAAACACAACCTTTCCTGGCTCTCGTAAATCCCAGCACAGAATTTCTGGATCCTACAGAGACACACACAGGCACATTCAGAGCTACAGAGGCCAGCAAGTGTCAGAGATAACCCTGTCTGATCGTGCAAAACAAATTAGTAATTCCTTTGAGATCAAAAATAGTTTGTCAGAATAATGACAAATGCAATACACATTGATTTAAAAGAGTAATAGCCATACAGCTAACATGCTGAATAAAATAGATATGGTGTCATGTTTAATACAGTCCTGTGAGGGCCACTGACACCGGAACCAAACCGGCTTTCTTTGTTTTCACACAACTTTACTTATTGATGACTATTGAGACCTGAGGAAGGATTTCAACAAATAAAACATTTCCAGTTTTATTTGTCATATGTGAGTTAATACAGGGTCATCATCAGTATAATGGAAGAGTTTGCCTGTGTAAACCACCTCCTCAAACACAACTGACCAAAGCTACCTTCTTGACACACAAAACCTACTGATGGTGTGTGTGTGTGATCATTCAAACGAATGCATGCTGCCATTTGCAGGTGGATGTGTGTGTGCATGTGTTAACCTTGCGCCCGCCGGTATACAGGTAGTTGCCGTCGGGGGAGAAGAGCAGATGGGTGAGGCCTCCGTGGTGGCGGGTCGGCAGCAGAGCCAGCAGGGTGCCGTCTTGGCAGGAGTAGAGGCCAGCGCAGCGGGAGTAAGAGCCACAGGCGTAAACAGACTGGCAGGGGCTGAAGCTAAAGCAGGAGATGATGCCACTTTGGCCTTGCTTCTTCACTGCAGCGACAAGAAGAGAGTGACACTTTGCAAAGCCGTCAGAATAATAGAAAACTAAAACAAAAAATCGTTCACTAGACACAACTTCCAAACACGTTTTCTCCCAAGTCGATGTTTTTGGCGACTCCTGCTTACATCTGTCAGAGAAAAGGTTCAAGTGTCACATAGTCACATATTGGATCATCTGTTTCTTTTTACGGTTCACTCCTTTCCAAATCATCATCCTGTTCCTTACTTTTAAAAGGAGACACATTTTTGGCAGGTAAAAGCAGAGGCAATGGTCTGGCAGGGTCCTCACATGTATCACATAACCTGTTTTTGAGACTCACCATAAATTTCTGCATAATTTGCGGTTATTAGTTATCAAGCAGAGATGAAGGAGCCAAACACACAAGAAACCAAAGACAGTAATAATCTACCAGAGCAGTGTTGAGTTGCCAGCGCATCGGGCTGGGGATTACTCATGACCTAAAAATAAAGAAAACTATTTCATGCATGTATTACCATGTTTGTTTCTTGCCACCTGAAGAGTCGCCTTTCTGAGCCTTTATTGAAATACATAAGCCCAATAACTACAAGAAAACTGGTGAGATGAAACGTGTGACAGAGATAAGGAATTCTTCCCAGTTTGGTCAGAAGTTCATAATAAAAACCTGAGTGATTTGACAGCCAACAGTCTACATTATATTATCATTTTCACAATTCCTCTTTGACTTATCATTTCTCTTGTGGGGTGGATTTTCCAAAAACACAGCTTGTGAGTGAGCAATTATTTTTGTTAATCATTTTTGACACTAGCAGTTGGAGCATCCTTGAACATTGATACAGTATTTCCACAAACGCCTGTCTCTCAGTGGAATACATATCTCAGTAACTATTTGTCTCAAAGGCTTGGCACGTTGTTAATGGCCCAGGGAAGTGCAAGTTTGATCAAATTTGGACATGTGATATGTTCAATATCAACTTGAATTAACAAGCAACCAGCTCTGTAAGAGTCAGTGGTGGCGGGGCCGTGTCCCTTCGGATGGAGTTGAACAAGTTTCCGTCTACGTCCTCGAATAAACTCTAGAAGTGTCGACAACTGGGTCAAACCACAGGTCCCAATCGCCACCTGATTTTATTTCACCATATTGAACTGACAGACATTCACAGCTGTTGCGGGTGCTGATCTCTATCATGACAAGATCATTGAATCACTTCCTGTTTGGCAATTTTTCTTCCAACTAAAAGCACAAGGCTCGTTTTAATGCAGTTAAGCTTTACATCGAGTTGAAGAGCTTTTATTTTGAAAAGTTGTGAACTTGGGTCTGAGGATTGTTTCGACTGATTAACAGACCTCTGAAATGTATTATAAAAAAACCACCACCAGTTAAATCTCTCATTCAAGCTTACATATAAACCACACAGGGATAAAACAAATTCAGTTTCATTTTTTGGAAACCACTGACTATGAAATCAGATTAACCAGGTAGAATGAACACAAAGTTTTCTAACTTTGCTCTGCACACAACATCCATCAAACAAACAATAACAAGTGACAGTATATTGTAGAACTGTTTGAGGAGGACTCATGAATAACAAGGAATAATCCTGAAGTAGCTCTGGATATTTAACAAAGGGCAAGAAAACAACCCATTCAGACGAGGCAGGTTTAGAACAAGTGATATTCATGAAGATGAACTCCATCTTTGTGAACATGAACCTTCTACCACTTTCAATGAGCATTTAAGATGAATTCAGAGCAATTAAATCAGAAACCACCGTGTCTTGTAATGTAAAGTATAAACCACCATTATTATGCTTTACATTGAAACTGTGTGGGAGTAGTTAATGACTGACCTACTGTGGGCCGCTCCTCACAGTCTCTGCCTGGACGCTCGGTGTAGAAGACCCTGACGGTTTTGTCGAAGCCGCAATAGAGCTGCGTGCCGTCGGGGGAGAAGCAGAGGGAGTGAGCCGCTGTCAGCTCATCCAGGTGATTGTAGGGTCGGAAACTGGCTCGCACATCCCCGTAAAATGCATCCCATATGTGGACTGGGTTGTCACGGCTACTGCTGGCTAGACTGCGGAAGATAAGTGACGAGAAGGAAAGCATGGCAAATGTGAGAGTGAGCTATGGGAAAAGCAGAGAGACAACAGGGAATAGAGTGAATGAGGCATATTATAAAAGAGTGAATAAATGCTGAGAATACTTAATTAAGTTACTCTCTATTGGCCTTTTTTTTCCCGTTACAATGATAAACAGATGACTCACTTTAGAGTTTAAAACCCAAGGAACATATTTAGTGTACAGTGAAACAGGTAAAAAACTATTTGCACACAAAGTAACTGGTGAAATAAAACTGTTACAACTGTAAAATTACATCTCAGAGGATAAGAAACTGATTCAAATGAGATAGGCTGCTGAGATTCTTTTGAGATATAAATTATTTATGACCAAACATGTCTTGATTCATACTCCAGTTCCTGTCCTCTGCTGCACAGCATCCACCTGAGTGTATCAATACATCAAAACAAATACACAGTTTTGTGCGATGCCTCATTATGGAGACAAGACCACAGCACGTTCTCGTTGATTCAAATCAGGACCAAAGACTGCGCTGTTCCCTTTAAACTCTAATTATTGGGCACTGAAAAAGGGCCAAAACATCACTGCGGCTCAATTAGACAAAGGAAATTAGCCCCTACCGATGCTGCCGTGTTTCGTTATAGCCCCTCTGAGCCGCAGCTTTATTCCAGAGCAGGGAAATGCCCAATTATAATGCTAGACTGCTGCTAGCTTGGAGCAAAGCCTAGAACTCAGTGCAACTTAACCGAGCCATAACAGGGGCCCTTATTCCCTCTCTACAGGAGGGGCATCCACAACAAATGGCTTCTGGCAGACGGAGAGTTCAAGGAGTGCTGGGGGGCAAGAGACAAAATGGGGGATGTGAGGAGGGGGAGGAGGGAGGGAGACAGAAAAGGTACAAGCAAAACAAGTTTGCTGTAGATGTGTTAAAGTAACCTTTCATCTGGCTGCCTCGGCCTTTAACAATCCAATCTGAGTTTGTCTGACCACCTGGCTGTGCTCTGCAGGAACTCCTATCTGATACGTGGTGCCGATCTAAAGAAGATGAAGAGTATCTGCTGTCAGCGCCTCCTGGCATCCTCATGACAGGCAGGTCTTTGTTCGGCTTTGGCAGATACACACAGGGCCCCTGAAGTGGTTCATTGTCCACACAAATCATTTGTTGATCGTTCTGCTGTTTGCACAACTCTCATCTCGGGACATTCGCATCCTGACCCCCCGCCACTCCTCTTACTCTGTAAAGTCCGTCTGATGTTGGAGGTGGAGCGGTGCCAACACTGTGTCTTGATCAGAGGAAGGAGGCTACAACTGGCCCTATGTCTCTCGCCACAGACTATCTACATTCTCCACAGTGATGGCGGGGAGTCACAGTGATGTCATAATCGCCACATTGTAAAAGTCTGCCATGGCGCGTGCCTGCACACACGCAGAGAAAAAAGGACAATAAGACAAAAGGAGAAGTCTCAGAGTCAGGGGATCATGAGGCCCTTTAGGTGTTGTCTGGGCTCTGGAGTGCTGTTAGTTGGCTGAATCATGCTGCAAATCACCGTGGGTCTCAAACAGCCGCGCTGCTTGCGACGGAGGCAGACAAGACAAAGGCCAGCTCTCTACTCCTAATGAGAGACATCAGAAAGCTTTTACAGCTTCTCTCCACGCTGGCAGCCGGCCCCCACAACGAGTGCAAATACCTCAGGGATCAAAGAATGAGTCACAAGCATACAACTACATTTTCAATATTCAGGTAGCCTATTAGACATGGTCACGCATATAGAAAAATCCTACTCTCACACATAAACACAGTGTCCTGAACTAACTATCTAGGATTTAGATTACAATCAATCAACGACTGAAAATATCCTCTATACACAATATAGCACTTTTTCTGTGCATATACTTCACCTTATCTGGCAAGTTGATGATTAAAGCCTTCAAATGTCTAATCTATCTGTTAAATGTGTAGGCTTAGAGTAATTTTATTTTTTTGTGTCTTTATTCAATAGCGTGGTCTTTCAGTTTGAGAGCAGCACTTATTGATTTCACACTCTTTTGTAAAGCTCTCACTCAAAACCCTGCACTCGCACTCATATATATCCTTCTTATGCTTAGATTTCCTGCGCTCCAGCTGCAGCTCTTCTCCTTGTGCTCACGCTTGTTTGTGTGAAATGTCTACTCTCAGATTCCTCTTCTGCTCTTGGACTTTATGTGCAACAAGTCATCAAAATTCCCCAGCCCATCGAATGCCAGGTGTTGTGATAAGGAATGAAAGAATCCTGTCCTGGTATTAGGTCATATTGTTTCCATGAAATACAGGGAGGGAGAAATAGGGTGCTGTCAATCTTGTTTATATACAATAGTTGCTAGCAACAGTGCTTCCATAACATTAAAAAAACATGAGATTCTTGATTTTTCCATGTTGACCATCGATCTGCTGGACTCCTGCTCCATGAGGGCGCCATGATTTTTTCTTCCAGCACATAAATGGGAAGCCAGTGTAATAATAAAGCCATGGAGGGAACCAGGTTAATGTAACATCCATTGTGGGACTCTCAAAGAAGTGACGCTAACACACCCACATCGAGGGCGAGACAATTTCATTCATCATCACTACACTTTGTTACAGAATCGGAACGCGACTCGCAGGACTCGTTGATTTCATGTTCATTAGACACTGAAGAATAGTTCAGCAGAGATCATGTTCAACTCACAAACATGTGTCTGGATCCAGAGAGCTCATCTTGGGGTACCAGCAGTAGTCGTAGATGGTGTCTCCCTCTGCCATCCTCAGCACCGGACTCTGCCACAGAATAATGGGCGCAGAAGAAGACAGTCAGCCTCAGCAGGTCAGCTGACCACTGGGATCTATTAGTACTGATGCTGGCTACAAGACACTGTCACATGTTTTTCCTAGTGGATAAATTCTTATCAGAAGTCAATAGTGTGATGTGTGAAATGGAGCGATCAAAGCTCAATTCTCTTCTCTTTTCACAAAGACTGAGATCTCTGTAGCATTCGAAAATTGATTAGATTTCAATTATTTTTTGTCAGTGATTTTAATCTACCAGACTGTAAAGCAACAGAGAGATTGGCTCGCCGCTCAATATTTCCCAGGCCCTAAAAAGACAGAATTCCTGTTTTATTTTAACTGATAAATATTCAACTTGTTGTTTTCTTAGTTGATGTTTTAACACATATTACACCCCAAAAAAATCTCAAACAACTGTGTTTTCTTGTGTGAGCACAACTTGAGCCTGATGAGGGCGCTGGTGATACTGTTTGCACAGAAGTGAACTGGAGGCTCTACTGAGGAACTTTGTTCAAGATCTGCTTTTATATATTTCATGAAACATTCCTTGAGCTGGCTCCTTTTTCTATGGTCTAATAAAGCTTTAGGAGAGTTACTGATGAGCCATTTTCAGACATGAACTTTGGTGAAGCCCCTCACTCTGACATTTGCGTTCTCTTGCGGAGAAAGTCTCAAATACCCCGATGCTCTCATGTCTGAGAGCACCTATGGAGGGCGATCTGTGTCCTTACCATCTCTGGAAGCATGTCCCAATTGTAGCTGTAGATCTCTGGAGGGACGTTGTACACTCGGAGCACATTGTCTGCACTGTTGGTCAGGATACAGGAACCATCAGGGGCCCTTGGATAGGAGAGGGGGGGGGAGAGAAAGAGAGGATGGTGTATAAACTGCTTTGATCTGAGAACAATATGAACTTGGGTTTGTTTCATGTTGAAGTCGCAGTAAAGATACACAGAACACACTTGAGTTGAATGATTTGTATATAAATAGTTTGCACGCCTCCACCAGCCAGTGATGTCGCAGCAAATACAAAAGATATAAAATACCATTGCCTAATGGTTTTTAATCTCTTCGGCTTTTGTCTTAAATTTTGTCACAATTAGAACATGATGTTTAACAAAAGCAGTTCAACCTTTATTACAAGTGAATATTTGTGACAAAATTTAAAGTCACACTTATTATACAGTCTTACTGTATATCTACTGTGGTGTTAGTGTTCCCATACATACATACATAGAGGAAGAGCTGCCTTATTTTCATTTGGACAGGAAGTTAAACACAGCAGATCAATCGCTGGCCTTGATATCTACCACAGGGTAGTTGTAGTCTTATTTATGACGGTAATTGAAATGTTTTTTATATTTAAAACCTCAACTGTGGTGTACTTTGTGTGATGTTTATATGAGAGGAGATTACCATTTGCAGCCTTTCAGGTAATTCTCTGGGAAGCTGGAATACTCAGTCCAGGAACCAGTCAGCATCTGGGGGTTCTGAGTAAATTCTAAGCCAAGGCTGGGAGCAGGATAGAGAGAAGGACAGGTCCTTGGTCAAATAATTGCAAAGTCAGAGCAAATAAATCACACAACAAACTCATCCATTCCGTTGAAATTTCAATTTCCCATTTCATTAAAAAAAAAAATGCAAAAAAAAAAACATATCTTGGTTTAATTTACTTCTGAATACTTTCACCACCTGGGATGAAACTGTTGCTACACAGTGTAGAGTCACACAAAACCTAAAGGAAAGCAAAGGGAAGATTTGTTCTGAGCTGCTGTGAAGTGGATTGTTAATAACATTTCACACTCCTACAGGTTAATTCCATTACCCCCATTCCATCTGCTTTTCTTTGCCATTATAATGATTACAGATGTCAAATCTATCTAATCAGTTAATGCTTGAGCAGTTTTTGCTGGCCCACTTCAGTCTGAGTACTATCTTGCACAAGTGACACTCATGAGTCAACTTCACATGTTCAAATAGCTGCAAATATATATTCAGTAATGTAATTAGGTTTTATGGGTATTCTTATTCCCACTGTCAGTCATAGTTTGCTTTGAATTTCTACTGAGGGGGAAGTACTGATAGTAAATAGAAGCAAGGGCAAGTATTAATTTGTACAAATGAGAAAAAATAATGGGCGAAAATAACAGGCATGACCTTTTAAGATGATTCCTACTGTTTAGTGTGGTGAACTCACATACAAAACGTGTGATCAAGTTACACTGGTATGAGTACTGCATTTTGGTCAGCAGTACTTCAACTACTCGTTCAGACTGTTCTTTCAACTTGCCTTTATGAAAACCTATTGCTCTGTAGTACACTCACAAATGTTCTTTCTCTGTTCCACAAACACACATGTAACTCTTCCTCACGCTCACTGCATAAGATCACCACCTGCTGCAAAATCCTGCTCGAAATAGCTCCCTTGATGGTCTGCCTACTAAGTATCTTTACTCCAAGTTATGTAGAGCCCGAGGTTAAAAATAAACATGACTTCTTCCTCCACTTACTGCTGTCCTTCACTGGGGCTGTCTGCAGATCCGTTAGCATCGCACTCCTCCTCTGCTTTTGTCTCTTCTTCTAAGGCAGCATCATGCCCTCCATCTCCATTCTCGTGGCAATCTTCTTCACCTTCCCGACTGACAGGGACCTCTTCCACTCCTCGACCTTTTTCCCCATATTGTGGTGGTTCTCCTGTGCCTAGCATTAAAGAGTACATTTGAAAAGTTATTCCTGAATCATAATCTCTGATAGACATCCAAAATCAGACCTTGAATAATAAATGTTTTTCTTGCATTTGATTTCATACATGCAGCTTCTCTAAAACAAGTACTTTGTGCTGGTGGGGCTGGATGTTCCAGCAGCAAACCAGCCTGTGCTGGTGTTTCTCCATGTGTCTCGACGGGCTCTGCAACCTCTTCTGGAGCCTGGCTCACCCTGAGCCGCTTGGCAAATGGAGGGGCTCCTTCTTCTGCTGTCTCCCTGATCTCCAAAACATCCCCTTCAAGTAGAGGTGGGGCCTGTTGGGGGGGCTCATTGTCCGCCTCTGCATCCTGCCCTGTGCCTGCCACACCTCCGCTTTCGCCATCTCCGGCCGTGTCGGACATCTCTCTGTGTGTATCAATCTCTTCTGTCAAGTCCTTTATGAAGGGTCAGAGTGCCTTGTGTTGGTTGGCTGTCAGACGTGGGTGAGATAGGTGCTACTGGGATAGTGCTTCTTCTTGCAGTGAGGGTGTTTGAGTCTGCTGAAGGTCGAGGACATCACAGCACCCACTAGCCTGGAAAAGCAGTGGTTAAGATGGAAAACACACGTCAGAACAATGTTACAGTAGATGTGTTTGACTGTGTGTCCTGTGTGTGAACATTTGTCATCATGTCACACGACCATCAAATATCTTTATGTCAGCTGCATTCAGACCGAGCAGCTGTTCTCCTGCAGCTGCAGCACCTGGGAACCTCCTATGTGAACACACAACTTTGCCCTGATTGACTGAAGGCTTTACTGTCATGCATGACATGTCTTGTGCTTTTAATCAATTAAATATATGATGTGCTGTGTAACTCCAACTCAAGAGGATCGGATATATTTGTTCTTCTGGCAGCTCGTCAGTTACACAGTATAAAGTTTAGATCTTAATCTGTTAAACAATTGAGTTCAGAGATTTGATGGTGTAAAACATGTGATGACCATGTTCTTTTGTTAGTAAACCGCATAACAGTAAGTGAGCTTATGTTAAGTTGTGGAGGAAATAGAGTCTACAAACACAAACGTCCCCTTGTGATTAATAATGCCATGTTGAGATGTTTAATATTCTCCGGTTCTTCTGTGGACCAGATGCCAAACATCACAGAGCACCATGGCTCTTTCTGTAACACACAATGTCTCCGGGTGCCTCTTTCTTTACGCAAACACCAAAGTAGGTTCTCGCAAATCACTGGCAGAGGAAGCGCGGGGCAGATTTTACAAGTACTCGAACGCAGCCATTGTTCCAAAGGAATAAATCCCTGACAGACACCTGTGGCTAGTGACGTGCCCACCACTCCAAACTAGCGCTAATGTTGCTCTGGCTCAGTTCAAGCTAGCAGGCTCGTTATAACATGAATAAAACCGTACGTGTCGCTCCGTGTGTCCTGCTCCTGCTCTACAAAACGACAGACGACCCTAGAGGCGAAGCAAAAAGCGCTTTAGCTCATTAAAACCTTCCGTCGGCGACACACAGCCACTAGCTCCCGTTAGCATTAGCTGGAGCTAGCTGTCCGGTGCTACATACCTGTGTTGGGGCTTGTTGCTCGTCCTTTGCTTCCGCTCGCAGTTCGGCCGCGCAGACGCTTCTCCTCGCCGGTGTCAAGGCTTCGCCTACAGCCGGAGAGTGCGAGGAACGAAGAAAACCATGCGACCAAGCTGCACTTCACGACTTTGTTTCCATGCAGCGGCTCATTACGAGTTGTAAACACCGTGAGCGGCCATGCGACTCGGAAGTATCGCGAGAATTGGGCCGATGACGTTTTGTGGGCACATGGCTGGTTTTTGTTGCTGATCCGTGGATGGATGAAAAACACACAACATTTTGGAAATAGAAAACACTGAGTCATTCACTGCTAAATGCTATTTATTCAGGATTTATTTTGTTCTTCAAACAAACAAAAGCCAAACTATTTACACATCTTTCAGTTGTTCTTTTCCAAAACAGTTTCATTAAATGTATGCTGTTATTTTAACAACATTCAAAAGACTTATTATTAAGCAGGAGGAGCTGAGACTGACAGGGAGAACAACTTTCATTAAGTCTTTTAGGCTGATATTGTTGGAGCAACAGTTTCCAGAGCTACACTGAACCAGAAGATCAACTTCATCAGAGGACGGGATCTTTTCAAAAGACAGCAACCAAACACCCGGGGCTTTTTGACGACAATGCTGCAGTTTATCTAATCGTAAAAGCTTTAGTTCAGTAAAATAAACCACAGACAACTACAGTTTACTCCTTTAAGACAGACCGTCTGTCTGACGACTAATCCCACACAGTAATTGCTTTTGAAATCGTCAAACGTTTGGTATTTTTTAAAGTAATTCAGTATCAATTCATCAGTTATGACTGACTGGAGCCAACAATGGCAGCTAACAATCTACCAGAACCTCAGCTACTCAAAATGTACAACTGAGCGGATAGTAATCAATGAATATCAGTTGACATTTCGACTTAAAAACTGCATATTGTTTCGTAATCAAAGACACAAAAAGAGAAAACTTCTCGTTGACTATAAGCGCTCATCCTGCACATCTAATTTGATTTACATATTCAGAATAAAACACTATCCATATCTGCGAGAATTTCCTTTCAGATAATGCACAAGCAACCGGCCGAGTCCTTCTCTATTCAGTGCCAGCCGTGGTGGTCACCAGCACGACCCAAGGCCGTCTGGACCATGAAGTGACCCACTTAAAGTTTTAGTGTCCAAACCCACAAATAGAAATGTTCTCTTACAAGCCTGAATCGCACTCTCCATACTGCCAAAAAAGTACCTCATTGCATCCAAATGATTCAAATCCCCGGAGTGTAGAAAAATAAACATCCAAAAAACCCCAAATTTTTTCCGGATGACCTGCCACTCTGGTTCAGTTTAGCCTAAAGCGGTGTCTCCAACAATAGTCATCGGACAGCAACGTGTCTGTGCATCCCACCCCGTCAGCTCAGCTCCACACAGTACAGATTTCAGCCTGCACTTTAAGCATTAATCTACAAAGAAAATCTAAACAAATCCACTCTTAATTTTTAAGGAAACCAAAAGGGCAACGTAAGCAAACCACCAGCACAATCAGATTAATCAAAGAGCGCTTTGCCGCGTTATTCTGTAGCTAACTCAGAACTTTCATGGTGATCAGATGTACATTTTTCTCAATATAATACAGAATGGACAGTTCTGTTAGCCGACAGAAAACAGTTTTTGACGAAAGCTCTTCTTTCTTTAACTTTAGAGGATAGTTGACGAGGTGGTTTCCAACTCAAATTCATCTTTTCGAGAACATTTTCAGTTTGCCGCTCAGGACTGAACTATACAATTTAAGGCATGTTGAACAGAGAAATAAAGCAAAACCTAGCGAGGAAAATCAAAACACAAACGTTTACATTATTTACAAAGCTCAGCATTTATAGTGAAGAGCGTCAATGCTTGTGAGTCCGTATTTATCTTGTGTGATTTGCTATTGATGTAGCCCTGTATGCAGACGTGCTTCCAGAGGAGAGCCAATGTAACTGAGTGTACGTTGCTTTTGCTCCAAGTGTGCATGTAGTGTCTGCCACTCCTTTGGACTCTTGAATCTATGTGACATGTAGCTACGTGTTTGTGTTTTGTCATGTTTTAAAGTCTTTTTTTTTTGTACAATTCTTTCAGTTCATCCAGTTCCACAGCTGCAGGGATGTACAGTGGCTTAGATGTAATCCAGCCACATCTGCCGAAACCCGACCCAGCTCTCCGGTCTGTGACGTCTGGGCAGGAGGGCAGCTCTTCTGTCCGCTCTGTTTAAAAGACCTCCACCAAACCGCCCGAGAGTTTCACGCCGAGGTGGATGATGACATCTGGGCAACTTGCGTTTCATTTATACTCTTGCCAAAGAGCGCTTGATCAAATGCCCAACCTAACACTTCCAGTGCAGATGGAATCCATGGTTGATAAACCTGTAACTTCATCTGGCCGCTGTCCAACTGATAATGCCAATAGCCTGCCCAGTCCGAGGTCAAGACAGAAAAGTTTCTTAGGATTTAAGTTCAAACACCAGGTTTAGGGTTGACTGGTTTCGTGGCTTGGCTGTAGATTAGATCCTCTTTGCGGAGGGCAGCAAATAAAGCACAGCCAGAAGCCTGCGAAGAGACAAACAGAAGAACACACAACCGTCACTCCCCGCAACAATCCTGTTCGAGGCAAAGTGCCAAAAGTTTATCCGGATCACATGAAGTCATGAAAACACAGCAACAACAAGCAAAGAAGTAATAAGGAAAACATGTCTCACCAATGTCAAGAATTTTTCCTCCTGCAGTCATGCTACAGCTCTCAAGGCAATCACTGGGTCAGGAGACGAAGTGGAAGCATCCTAGTCCAAAGCTCTTCCAACAAATGTCTGCTGCTTCAGTGTGTGTCGGCAAACACTCGGTGGAGCTTTACATCCACTTCCAAAAGTAACCATTAGTGAGTCTTGGAGACACTGCAGCATGTCCAGCATCTCAGTCCGTGTGGTTTTCCCTTCCATCCCCGGTTATTTCAGGGTGACTGGCAAACTAAGGGAAATTCACAGCAAAGACTCAGTCTTTCACAAACTATTTTCAAAAAAAAAGAAAAAAAAAAAAAGATTGGTTTTCTTGAAGAACATTCACTCCATGTAATCAAATGTCTCATGAGTTTTCCTTCATCCATTTGTAAATTTTCTGTCTACTCTGAAAGGTAATACAAAAATATGACTATATACAGGAGGTGAGAGAAGACGAGCTTCGAGTCTCTTATTTCAGTTTGGGAATATCTTTTCAGTGACTTTGTCAAAGCCGTAGCAATCCTCCTGTTGTAATTGTGCTCCCATCCCCGAAATGGTACCTCACAGCTTGAATGAACAAAAGTGCATAGGTGAGTTGTTGAGGGCAGGGTGTGAGTGCTTATGAGGGTTGAGGTGAAGACAAGTGCACAAACCAGGTGTACTCATGTCGCCCTCGCAGTTCCCTCTAGGGTTATGCAGCCCTGCACTCTGCTCGCCACATAACAGAGGCAATCCTTGATTTTCCCACCTCCACTCCACGGTTGATCATTGAGTCTCAGGATCCACGGCCACACACTAAGGTCCAGTTAGAGGATCTTGTCCGTGTGGTTGTTGTGATGCCTGCCACTCTTCCTCAAAAAAATCCAAAGCCACTCAATGTCCATATGGCAGAAGCGCACTTGCAAACCCCACCCGTCTCATTTAAAAAAAACAAAACAACAAAATTATAGAAACAAACAAGAAAAAAACAAAAACTGCACCCACAGATATCCATGTGGTTTGTAAACAACCAAAGCTCCAGTATGGAATAGAAAGAGTCCTTTCTTTGAATTCTTAGTCACTATTTGTACGACCAGGATTGTAGAGGCAGTGTGTTCAACTGTTTCCATTCCAAGTTTTTTTTTTCCATCTCTACTGTGAAAATAATAAAAAAAAGACCTCGCTAAACTCTGAAGCTTTTTTGTATTGTTTCCATTTTTGAAATCTTCTGAGGAAAAACAATAATATCTGGTATCAGCACGGGTTTCTTGTCATTTTTTTGGAATACATTCAATATTTTCTTAAGAAAGAAATAATACACACACTTCACATGGCGATAATGAAACAAAAAACAAATTAAGGAAAAAAAAAAATTTAAAACAACAAAAATAGCAGCCCCAAGTGCTCATTATCTTAGTCCAAATACTTTTTAAACTTTGTATATAATGTATATATTCATATATATTTTTCATTAAAAAAAGAAAACTCGTCATTATCAAATTGCAACAACGAATAAGTAACACAATATGCTAACATTTCATGCACCATTCTGTGCACTTGCACATTAAGATGCTTTTTTTTTTTTTTTCAGAGTCAGAAACTCGACACCTTTCATTCACAAGTTCGAGAGCTGACGAAAGGCAACGTGATCACACCCCAGGAAAACAGACTGGACTAACCTTCCGATGGATCACCCCAAGACTGAACTAGAATTATTTACGATACAAACTTTCATACTTTACATACACTGTGCTGAGCACTGACACACGTCACACCTGCTCTCAAAAAAGAGTTAATGTCTCAATGGCCATGCACCCTATCCAAGTTCTTAGGCACAAATGTGCATTCATACACATACAAAAAAAGCACATGTATTCAAAATGAGTACCTGTAGTCTCAACTCATTTCTATGAACAATAAATGAACATGCACTCTCTCTCTCTCACACACACACATCTCATTCAGATGCACACACAGTAATGTCCCTTATGATTCGCCCTGTCTACCAGTCCTCACAGGACTAGAGACAGCTCCCCATAGGGAGAAGCTAAGGGAAATAAACTAGTGGTGGTCATCAGGTTATGAGCGCGAAAGCTGACATTTACAAATGTATGCATTTTCGAATTTGTCTATCTGGGGAAGAAGAGCTGGTGAGAGAAAGGATGTGTTGTGCAATTGCCCTCTCTCTCTCTCTCTCTTGCATTCATACTCACTCAAAACATGGAGATCAAGTCCCTGTTTGGAGAAGGGACACACGCTCTAAACATGAGAATACAAAATTACCATTTAAACAAAACAAAAAAAAAAAAGACAAAAATGGCCTCTTATGTTTCATACATCTTGGTAAGCAACAAAAGAAAAAGAAACATTGTGCAGACTGGTATATTACTGACACAAACCAACCATCTCACACCACTCACTCACTCAGTCATTCATACACATTCATAAAAAAATATTCACTTCTATAACTAACCCCATTTGTTTAATTTTTTTGTTGTTTTGTTATTTCTTTTTTAGGCAAGTGCAAATCTTCAAGTTTTTTTATAATCCATTTTTCAATAGCTTTACTTTTTATATAAACGTAAAAAAAATGCTAAACAAGAGAAATATCAACAGTGTTTGTCTTTTGAGAAAGGATTTGCTCTCTGATAAGGTTTCAACTAAAGGTCCCCCTGACTTTGAAAACCTAACAGCCCGACCATTCAACCCACCGACTGTTTCACCGCCCCTTCCAGTTCCGATGCACATGCACACAGATATTGTGTATGAACACACATCTTGTATGCGCACTGATTCCAAACGCTCTCACATTCACACATGAAAAAAAAAAAACGATTCAAATCCCATCTCAATAAAGTGCATTAGTTCAGTATAAGGTGCTTAATCTTTTGAGTGCCAGAGGATACCCATCTTCCTTTTAACCTCACCCCCCTTCTCCCCTGCTCAAGTGATCAACTGGTGCAGCAGGGAGCCCTTTGCGTCTTTCCAGAGGGAAGCCAAGAGTGGGAGGCGCAGATCCAGGCGCCTCCACCCTGCACCTCCCCTCGCGCTTGCTCCCCTCCTACCCCCAACCCTTGTTTCCCCCAGCAGTGCACATTCGTCATCAGGTTTGTCTGATTAAAAGACAGAAGGCCTCAGGTAGCTATTGCTGCTGCGCTGCGTCACATCAGTAATCCTCCACCATCTCCATCTCATTCAGGCTCAAACACTCGCCCGTGTTGTGGAATGAGTACCCTGCAGAGAGAGCAGAGTGAGGTCAGAGGCAGGTGGGATATGGAGGGGGGTTTGAAGCACGGGCTTATACAGTGCAGGCAGGATGTGATCAACCAGCTCTAAAAGGGTCTAAATGGCTTTAAAATCTAAGTAATATCTTCTGAAACAAGAACTTATCAAAAACCAAATATAACTCCTTATTTATATTGGAGCATATACCTACCTCCCCCCATCAATGAGGTTGTGTTTTCATCTCCATTTGTTTTTTAGCAGGACTGCGCAAAAACTACCAAACCAATTTTATTGAATTTTGCTGGAAAGGTGGGGTATGGACAAAGAAAAAAATAACTTCAGGTGCAATTTGTTGGGGATTAGGATAATGATCTGATGTCAATACACGTTAATATGCTTTCTAAGCCAAGTAGAGCACATTTGCTGGACAAAAATCTGCATTTTACAGTAAAAAAAATAGGTTTGCAATTAAATAAGCTAAAGGGAGTCACTGTCCTTCAGCATTGTGGGTGCAAATAACTTGAGATGGATCTCAGCCAGCAGGCTATCCTACTTTCACCACATTTTTATATCCAGTTTTATTGTTGAGACATTTGTTTGGCCACCTGCTTCAATCCAAGTTAAGGAGTGAGCCATATCTCTGTGTTCAGCTACACCAGTGAGACACCACACCCATCATCCTACTCACCACCTGGACTGGGTGCAAACAAGCAATCAAGAAGATGCATGACCTTCTGTTGCTGCTCTAGAAGGCTGTACACATGCATTTGTCATTTATGGTTCGACCTCATTTGATGTCTGCTGCTGATTTAATTTTCCATTTCAGCTTTTTGTTGTGTGTCTACCTTTGATGTGAGAGTGTGGCACTGGTATCTACTGATGAGAGTATGCGTTCTGCATAATCACAATGCTAATCTGTAGTTAATCTCTTATAACTATTCATGGATTCTGAGAGCATTTACAGATGAATCATATCTAAAAAACAGGATTATTAAATTGGAGTGAGGTCACATACCTAAGATGCTGGGGTCAGAGTGCAGCATCATGGGCTGTTTCTTTTTCATCTTTCCCCCCTGGTTGTCGTAGAGACCAGCCTTGCCCATGTGGTTGGTTTGAAACATTGACTGCAGGGTGCTTGGGTTCATACCTCGCATTGAGTCCTAAAAGAAGAGTAAATGACAAATTTACCCAACAATGCTAAAGATAATTGCTGAAATGAAAACTAGTTCTCTTGCTTCATTTAATTTTAATATTTCATACTAACAAGATGAGACTTGGAGGTAATGCAACTGTGAATAAAAAAACAGCAATTTCCTTGTCTGTAGGAGACCTAACCTAAAATAATAACAACTCCAGACCCATCAGTTTTCGTGTGTACTGTGTACAGACATGTGGTGTACCTGCAGAGGGAAGTTCATGTTCAATCCAGCCACTTCCTTTGATAACTGGGATCATAAACAAGAGGAGAGGATGCATTTAAGCAGGTCACACTCAAAAGGTTTCTATCAAAGTCATTTGCAGCTCATAGCTAGTTTCTTCAGTCACATTTCTTTACAGCTAATTACTACAAGACTGAAGACAAATATATAAACGCTGGTTTGCACAAATTAAAAACAGCATCCACTCTTTATGTGTAAATCAAAACATAAGAGGTACAAAGAACTTCGCAGCCAGTTTGTTATATGAAAGGTTTTAACCCTCTGAAAACAGCCGTCCCCTTGGCCGGGGGAGATTGTTGTTTGCACGTTGTTGTTTAAATCATTCTCAAATAAAAATCTAAATAGCTAGAACATTCATTCTTTTTGTACTAGAGAGCCAAAGGCCTCTCACTTTTGCCTCATCATGACATTTCGTTATGTGTGGTGCATAATGTGAGGTGGTGCCAGAGAGTGGCGGGAGAGGAGCAGAGAAAAACAGCTCAAAAATGTTTTGTGGCTGTTACTTCTGTGCAGCACAGTGTGTGTCCAGCTGAAATGAAATGTGCTCTGTTAAAAAAGTTTAATATAATATAAAATACTTAAGTAAAAATAAATAAGTTCTGAGAGCCGATTCTCAATTTTGCAGAGTCAAATTCGTCATGAAAATCCAGAAAACAAATTCAATGCAATATTTAGAGATGGACCGATGTCCATTCTGATCACTCTATACTGGGGGGGATAATAACTTTATAAGGTCAGGCCTACCTGCTGCTGCTGCTGTCTCTGTTGGTTGGCTTTCTGTTTGGCACGTCGCTCCAAAAACTGTTTGGCGAACTCTTTGGCTTCCACTGTGTCCCCTAGGTAGGACCGGATGAAGTCCAGCACTGCATAGGGTGACTCCACCTCCTTCAGGTATGCCACAATTGTGGAAACTAAACGAAGACAAAAAATTTAAATCTTTAGTGATACTGAAAACAAGGGGTACAGAGATTGAAGGAAATTCCCTCACACACTTATACACTCATAAATATAGTGATCTATGTATGTAAATATAATGTAACTATCTATAATTAGGATGAACTTCCCTCACCCTTGCCACTGCTAAAGAGATTAAAGCTGAGCAGCCTACCATCCAAAGAAGAGGTGGAGTTGTTGGAGGTGTTGAGAGCATGCAGCATCTGTTCACACCAGGTGGTGAAGCCATCCTGGGGCTTCATGCCCTGCAGCAGCTTCAGCAGCTTGTCTTCCTCCTCTGTCCGCTTACGGCGCATCATGTACTGCTCACTGCAAAGGACATGAGAGCAACAACAATAGTGAGCAACTGAAAGACATTAACATTAAGTAGATTCATTCTGCAATGCTATTTGCAGTGGTGGGTGTATAGAAAAAGGGATCTTGAATCGCTGTCTTGCAAAATCACACCACACGATCTTACACCAAGAGAAACCTGACTGGTATGTGTGGTCTCCAAACTACATTCCATCACAAAAAGATACTGCGAGTACTCCTCCTGTTCGTCTGTGTCATCCTTCTCAGAATAACACATCAAACTGGAGGAAAGGCTTCTGTGGACATCACATTTGTAAAGAAAAGAGAGCGGCATGGGTCACATTTTTCTGTCTGAACCGTTTCAACAGAGAAATCTAACCAAGGTGGACCCAAACTAATTCAAGCCCAATGCAGTTAATGTTTGTGTTACTTTGTCACTCATGCACAGTTATGCTTGTTTTCCCCAATTACAGACATGTGCAGTGTAACCATAGGAAGTCTCACCAAGACATGTACCTTCACCCCAGCCTGCACTCAGATTAGCTGGGGTTGTCGCCTCCTCGACTTAGGGTTAGTCTTTGAAGAGTTGACATTTAGTGATCGGTTGCTTATCGAATGCAGATTCGTTTCTGATCAAGGGCTTTTGTTAACAACTTCCATAAATTGTCCCTGAGTGGAAAATCAGGCTAAAAATTGTGAAATGTGAACTCGGCTGAAGTTAGTTTTTATCTGATATTACATACCTGAGTGACGGGCTGCTGCGGCTGTTCTTCAAGCCCATGTTGTTGTTGCTGTTGCCACGCAGGCCGGTCTGGTTCTTCACAGCCTCGTCCCACATGCCCATGCTGCCTGAAGAGCTTCCACTGCTGCTTTTACCCTCCATACCTCCAGGTCCACCCCACATGCCAACACCATCCACCCACTGACTTCCCATTGAGGAGCTCCCCATTGACATGCCGGAGTGCTGGAAATGCAGAGATACACCAGGTTGATTATGGCGAAAATGGCAAATTGAAATTTGTCACTTTCTATTTTCAATTCCTAAAACATAAAGACATTATCTGTTAATGTGGACTGAGTACTGTATAATTGAAACTCACGCGATCTCTCTCTCTCTGTTGGGCTCTCTGCTGCTGCTGCTGCTTCAGAAGCCTCTCTGCCTCCTGCTGCATTTCCATCAGAGCCAGAGCTGGGGATTTACCTGCTTTGGTGAGCCCAGAGGAAGGACCCCCACTCCAGCCCGAGCTGCCGGCCCCAGGACCCTGCTGCTGGGGGGCCTGCTGCAGCAACTTCATGATCAACTCCTGCTGCTGACGACACTACAGGAAGAAATGATAAGATGTCAACGCTGAGTTGGCATAGTCCTTTAATAACTTGGTGATGTACATTCAAAGAGCATTCGAAAGCTACCTGACAAATTTACAGGCCAGGCCATAATTCAGTATTCATGATTATCTCTAAATCAACGACAAATAATGAAGCCCTTTTCACAACTTGTGTTAACACCGCATCTCACCTGCTTGCGTCTGAAGAGCTCCTCTTCCTCCCTCCTCTTCTGTTCCTCTTGTTGCCTTCTCTTCTCTTCTCTCCTCTTACGCTGCTCCTCCTCCTCACGCTTCGCCCTGAGTTCAGCGTCTCGCCTCTCCTGCTGGAGCTTAAGCAAGAGTCAACACAAAAAGAGTCAAAAACTGACATCCGAGAGAGCGAGTGGATGGTTTTTACTCAATTCTTTAGCATTTCTCAGAAAAAAATTGTCATTGCTGAAAATTTCAGATAGTTATTGGGCAGCACACATGATTTCTTATTTTGTCTAGCCAGCTTATACAGCTAAAATGTTTCTGCTGAGAGTTAAATCCAATGAAACTGACATGAACAACTGTGTGAAATGTTACTTATGTACACAATAAATAGTGAAAGTATATGTGGGAAATTTTCAAATGTACATAGAATTAGTGTTCAAAGTTTGAAATGCTCATGATGTTACCCACCTTTTGAAGCTGTTCGAGAGTTGGACCCTGAGTAGTAGGATTCATTGTTATGTCCCAAAGACTGGCTTCACTGCCTGCAGGGAAATGAAATTGGATCATCTTATTATCTCATGATTCACCATCTGAGTTTTTTACTCCATGTGTAGGGGTGTGTGTGTGTGTGTGTAAGGTAACAAGCTGCAGTTGAAAAAGTACCGGACGGCTGTGAAGCTGAGGTATGCATGTCCCACATGGACCCTGTATCTGGCACTGATATCGATCTGTTCATCGAAGGCATCATACCCTGCTCACTGCACCTGGAAAACACGCAGGCACAGATTTCAAGTTTTAAAAAAAATTGAAATTTCCTCTGATGTAAAATGACAGAAACTAGGACACAAACAAATTCATGGAAACTATTCCAGATATGTAAACTGAAACTGCCACACTCCCCCATTGGCACACCTGTTAATGAGCTGGAATAGCTGCTGCTGTTGGAGCTGCTGATAAAGAGCTGCTGCCGCCAGCTCCTGTTGCTTTTTCAGTCGCTCCTGGTCCAGGTTTCCCTGAGAAGGACGGAAGAGGGAAGGAGGGAGGGGAGATCTCCAGTCAGTAAAGTGCATCTTAGCACTGAGGACACATATCAATAGATAATCGCCTATGTTCAACTTTTTCCTAATGGAATTCATGCGTATCATCATTTAACAGGGAATACACAGTCATGTTACAAACTTAAAATGATGTACACCAGGCTGTCACATCAACTGTGCCAAAATTTAAAGGGAGCATTAGGGACACATGATCATAATTTGAGTGTAACATATTGTATGGAGCCTTACCCTGCCCCAACAATTACAACAAGTATAACTCTAACAAATACAGCCAGTGACTATTACTGGATGACATTGCAAATTGTAATTTTAATAAATGAGGTTTGATTATTGATTGTTCATCTCTTCTTCTCTCCAACTCAGAGACTATAGATACAGATGGGAATCAATTAAGTGTAACACAAAATGACATTATTTGAACTATTTTGTAAATGCAACACAACATGCCTATTAATCATCCTTCTCCTTCACATCCCCCCCTCAAAACCCTCTATGTTGGCTTAGCTCTGACTCACAGTCCCTGCGGGCCCCCGGGTGGGCTGCGGGCGCTGCGTTGGTGGTGGCTGTCTCACCAGCAGGGGCGGCGGGGAGGGCCCTGGGGCGAAGGGCACACGGCCCCACATCTTGATGACGTCCCCCAGGGGCTGAAAGCCCTCATCACAGCCCCGCTTCACCAGCAGGGTCATGGTGAAGTAGCCAGCCTGGAACCACTCACACATCTCCACTGTGGTGAAAGGACCTGGAAGAGGGTGGAGCAGACAGATGAGTTTACAATGCAAACCCTGGATTTACAAGAGATTGCTGCAATCCACCGAAGGAATATTTATTAACTAATATGCCATGCTTGCATATATGAGTAGATACAAGAGTATACATTTCAAAGTTTGAGAGTACCCTGGATTTCTCCCTGTGGGTCCTTGTAGAACCACTTCATAGCGGCTTCATGAGACAGCGGTAGAGCGGCTGCAGTGTTCCTGCTCTCCTGCTGCTGCAGAGCCTGGGTGAAACACTCCTCCTCCAAAGAGGTGTCCTGTAGTGATGCCACCATCTTCTCTGCCTCCTACACAAACAGTCAAAAGCTTCATTCTACATTCAACATAATGACCCAAAATATACTGGGGAAACATAATCAGTAGCTGTAAAAATGTTCCAAAAAACCAACAAACTGTTCTGCACTGTATAATTCAGTTTTCTATATGAGACAGCAGCTTGAAACATGCCTCCTGTTGTTCTTACCTGCTGCAGGTGCTTCATGCCCTCATCATCCTCATTGTCTCCTCCAGATGGAGGGAGGAGAGGAGCAGCAGAGGAAGGGGGTGGGGGAGGCAAACTGGAGGTGGTGGTGCTGGGGCTCAAATGGGCCTTGGAGCCCCCTAAAGGAGCCAAGTCTGACAAAAACAACAGAAAGAACAAACATTAGGAAAACAATGGGCCCTATTTTAAGTATCTCTATTAATGGGATGGGGATGATGTTGAGGATATGGGGGGGGGGGGGGGGTTGAGCCACCTACTGGTTCTGTTTCTGATACAGCAGGTACAGCAGATTTGGTAAACAACATATTAAATTACTGGGGATAAACATATTGTATATCAAACTAAAATATCAACATGACTGAATGTCAAATCTCTTGCCCTCACACACACAGTCTATGTGAAGAATATAACTACTTGTGTAGTTTGCAATAGTCAATGAAAACATAGGGCCCTATTTTTTGCACCAAGGCGCACCGTGCAAGGTGCAGTTCAGTGTCCAGTGCACAGGGAGCATGACTGTGTGCATTTGGAATGTTGTTGACAGGAAAGATTGAGATGTACTGGGTGTGTTAGCGGCGGGATAACCAGACTTCGTTTATTACTTCTATCCTTCCTTTAGGTACGTTTATCCTCTGAAATCATTGTTTTTGTATTGGCAGAGAGTTACAGCTTTACGTTGTTACAGACACCCCATCCCCCTCTGAGACTTGCGCAGTCAGCCCTCACCAAAATGGCACTACACTGTTGGGCACTCTCCTTAAAAGGGAAGGATAAGGAAATATAAAACACTGTCTGATTGGTTAAGTCGATCCCCACCGCTAACCCACCCAGTGCATCTCAATGTCTTCCTGTTATCAGATGCACCGGTGCATCGTGTCACATTCCCTACTCCATGGTGCTTAAATCCAGCCTTCTTAAGCGTAATAGGTTACCATATTATTACCAGTAGCGGTGGAGTGGAATGTTTATGCGGGTACGGGTCTCTAAATTGGAGAAAATAATTCCTTCAGCTGGGTGATGGACAGATCAGTCAAGCATGTGTGCAGATTTGGATGTCGTTCGAACAAATCTCACACACACACACACACACACACAGAAGATAGGAGAGTTCTTCCCATAGATACACAACGCTTTGTTGCAGAAGAAGCGATGGCACATTTATAAAGGAACATGAATATTAGGGATGTAACGAAACTCCACCACTACAAGTTTATGTCCTCAGTTTTTGAGCCACGGTTCAGGACAAACCTCTGTTTTTTTTTTTAAGGGGTGTGGGGGGTTCTCTGAATCGAATGGTGAGGTGCCCTGATATTCCCATCCCTTACAGAGAGTTTGAGAATTTGATATACCTTCACCAGGCGTGCTGTTGGCCTTGACAGGGTGGCTGTTGCTCAGCTGAGTATTATCCACAACTGTGCATGCGTTGCTGGGTTGAAGCTCCAGGGATGGAGGGGAACAGTATGTTGGAGGAGAAGAGGTGGGTGATGCTGGCTTTGCCTCACCATCAACCGCAGCAGAGCCAGTTTCTTTATTCTCTGTGGGGTTACAGTGGAGGAGAGGAATTAAAATAAAATAAATGGCCAATGTTCTAATTAATTATGGGCCAATTATCAACACAGTATCTGGATGAAACAAGGTGCAAACATGTTTCCTCACCTTTGTCTCCTTCAGCGCTGTTCCTCTCTGTGTCAGTGAGGCTCTCCTCCTCTTCCTCCTCCTCCTCCTCTTCCTCTATCCCCTTGAACTCAAACTCATCCTCCAGGATTGTCTCCTTGTCACCCTTCTAAAAGACCAGGAGATGTAGAGGATGTGAAAATGTAACAAATGCTTATAGACATCAATGAGGGCAGGCAATAAAAGATTTTATGGTACTGACTAAAATACAAAAAAAAAAACCTCATGTAAGAACCTGAATTAAAAAGAGCTTGTTAAATCAAGGGTGGAAGATATTCCACTTTCCCTCATGACAGAATTTTTACAAATAAATAAACACTATACACACCTTCAAAGGCATGAAAGCTCCAGAGGAGTCAAATGTGCCCATCTCCCCATCTTCCTCATCTGTACACCACTCTGGCAGGCCGTCCCTGTCGTCCTCTAGTCCCTCACTGCCCGCACGCCGGCGGCCACCGCCATGACCATCCGATTCCCGGAAGTCAAAATCAAACTTCCTCCGACGACTCTCACCTGGGCCGACGTGTTCCCGCCAGCCTGCTGAGCGAGGACCACCATCTGACAGAACAGATACTGATGATACTATGAAGGAATGACAGGACTCATTAATATGTAGATCAAACAGAGTAGGTGCCACATTAAAAAAACTTACAAAAACAAGTTAACCAAGTAATGGCAGTCATGTGGTCAAGTCTCGGGATTTGTTATGATCTTTAAAGAAGGTCATGTAGTCCCTTAAACTAATATTTCAAACCCTTTACATGTATGATGGTATGATGTTTTGAGAGCAACTCTAACTTTAGTATGAACCAAATGTAATTACACTCATTCCAGTTATCACATCTGGCTTTAAACTTCCTGAAAACCACAGTATTGCTGATTACATGGAGAAACAAAAAGGACATTTTACAGGCTGGTCTATTCCTGGTCAAATGTAGGATTATGGTTTACAATAAAAGCCAAATGTTTTAGTTCTGAAATTATTTTTATGTCATGTTTCAATGTGCTTCCGAGGATGACAATTTAAGGTTGTAGTGACCCTGTAATGGCGTACATTTTTTACCTCTGGATCACTGTGATATTGGCTCTTCCTCTGCAAAATCCTTCTCCTCAAATGCATCTTTCACCTTGAGCGTTAGCTAGTGGTTCATCATTTAATTAGTTATCTTAAATCAACTACGAATACATCCACACTACAACCATTCAATTTGAAAACACTTCAACTATAGCTATAAATAGCGATTTAAAAAGTGTTTTTGAGGCTAAGGCTGCCAAAAAACAAAGGAAATCCACCTCCCATAATGTGTTTCTCCTTGCAAACATGAATTTCAGCAACACACTGTGCATTCCATTGTTTTAAAAACAGTACATAGAATCTGTGCACACCTCCTTCTGGTCTTTAAATTGGAGATATGCAGACTACGTTGCATCCATTCTTAATGGGTTTCAACAAAATTAATCCCCAGGCCCTTGTTTTGTGCATAGGTTTTGTTTTCAACAAACAAAAGTTTAAAACAGTAAACACCAAATAAATATTTATATGTATCATACCATCTCTGCGGGATACAGCAAGTCTCCAGTTGGTGCCTGGCTCCCCCTCCTCCTCCTCCTGCTCCTCCCGGAGGGTGCGCCAGTTATCGCTGTCAGCCCTTGTGTACTCCTTCCTCCCTGGAACAACGGGACCTACAGGGTCTTCAAAGCCAGGACGCCCAACCTCCCGCCGCAGTGGCTTCTCAAATCGTCGCTCGCCCCTGAGGGAAATGGCAGTATCAGTGAGCTGTATCAGTTCACTGATAAACAAAGGAAGACAATCCCAAAACATTAACTTTTTTTGCAAGAGAGACATCCAGACAGACATCTGTCAAAAAAGATGCAAATTAAGTTTTTTATCAATGACTAAAAATCTGCTGAAGAAAAACAACAGGTGCTTAAGTAAAATACCAGAGCAGATTATCAAGTTTATTAAACTGCATGACAGCTCATTTATATACACCTTTCACTCCGGAGTACTAGGATGTATGACTTATTTTTTTTTAAATGTATTTTCAATACTTCTAAGGACATTTCTTAAAGTTCTGTTGTGTTTGCAGGAGGATTTTCTTACCGGTCATCCCAGCTCTGGCTGCGGTGTATCTCTCGCACGCTGCGGCCAAAACCCACCTCCACGTCCTCAATACTTCTTTGGTAGAATCCACCTTCACCACGACCTCGTCCTAACCACACACACACACAAACACAGAGAGGGTGTTAGTATAAAATACAATCATCACCTTAATGAAATAACTCCTAATTGACTCTCTTCAGTATAATCTGTTAAAGTTCTCTATGCATCTAATTTAAAATAATACAAACAGCACCTCATATCCTCCATTACATCCCCTTTAAGCTACAGACAGCCACACACAGCAACGCAGTTGTTTCCTTGGCTGTCCAGAACCGGAGAGCTTGTGTTTATGTTGGCTATTGATATATGTGGAGCGATGATCATGCACAAGGTAGGTTCATGAGCGCAGACGTTTTAGACAGGTGTGGCTGGACAAAAGGAGGACTATTTAGACAGGCCAAGAGGAAGTGTGCTGCATCAAGATGGTGGAAGAAAGGGGGGAAATAAACACTTGAGTGGTTGGCTTAAATAAACAGTTTAACTTTCCCTGGATTCGAGCCATTTGGACAGCATCCCTGTTGCTGCTGGACTCATGTGAGTCTCAGTGCAAGTGGTGGTGGATTTATGGTTGCAGTCAGGCTGAATCTATGTAGCTGTTTCTTCGCTATTTCCCCCCCATTCTGATGGGTGTGCAGGATGATTTTCTGTTGTGTTTTTGTTTTAGTTTTTTACCTCGACCGCCTCGTGCGGCTCCTCGTCCTCGGACCACTCCAGCTGGGGCAGCCCCACCGACCCCTTTTCCCATGAGCCTCAGCACTGCAACACTGTTCACAGACATGGAGAAGTTCCTCTGGGACGAGAGAATTGAAAAAGCAAAAGGGAGGAATGTGAGGCATGTGAGCTAACAGCCACATTTGTCAAGCAACGGCAGCGCCGAAGCTGAGGTTGTATTGTAAATACTGTGGGGGGCTAAAACCGTTCTACATTAGCAGGTATCAGTGCATTTGTGAGAGTCTTGTTTGTGACAGACCTGCTCCTCCTCAGTGAGAGGCACTAGTGCCAGTGGCTGCATGGGCTCATCCTGCAGAATAGCAGCAAACTCCTTATCCTGCATGTCCTCTGGGACCTAAGATGAGCAACAACAAAAGGTGTTGGGCATCAAAATCATCCTTATAGCTTTAAGTATTACAGAAAAAAACTAACCTAGGTAGAGATTCTCAATTCACTCCCTGGGAAATGACTGAACAGAGTTAAATTTGCCTAAATTTGAAAGATATATAAGAAATATACATGTAGGCTTTTAGATTGATTTAAATCTTCTTATTCTGTGATCCATGGAGTTCTAAGAGAAGCCAACTTACCTTGTTGTCTTTGATATAAAGTGCTAACATCTCCTCTCGGCCGTAGCGATACTCGGCCAGCTTGTACTTTGGCATGGCGGGGGAAGGAGGGGGGGACGTCACACTCCCCCCACTGGACAGTGCACGGAGCCTGTGTGAGGAAGAGCAAAAAAGATATAAAAAATCAGGGTCATGAATTTCTAACATCAATGTTTCTTGCATGAATCGCAAACAGACAGAAGGTGGGACTTGGGTGGAAAGCGTTTGTTGCCCCTGTATAAATTGCTAGTGTGTATAAATAATTAACAGTATCAACGCTTGAGAAATCTAATAAACTGGTAACCATAGGTACTGGGCAGGTGTCAGAGTTTCAACAGGTACAACTGCAGGTTTAACCTTGAAAGCCAAATGTTTGCAGCACTTCCTCCAAAACAACTGACTTCACATATACTGGAGAAATATCACTTATTAACAACTTGCTGCAAATTCCCTGTTAGCACGTAGTACAAAAAAAGAGTGAGAGCACTATTGTGTAACCAAAAAAGTAATTTGCATCTGAACAGGAGAAAAAATATTACATATAAATAAAACAGAATCCATTTTGCAGCAGGGGGAAAAAAGGAATTTACTAAATGTTCTGTAACAAATCACCTATCCTCCTACGCGGGTCCCCCTGAATAGACTTGGCTCAACAAAGATAGCTTTCCAATCTCCAGATTTCATTTTAAAAAGCTATTACTAGCAGGCCGGTTTCCAAACCCCTGCTGTTTAACAATGGCTCCATTCACATGCCTCTACAAAGTGTGTCATTGACTCACAGCCCCACATCAAAACCATATGTAAGTCAGAGATGTGGAGGTGGGCGTGGGCAGTAAAAGGTAAAGGAAAGCATCATGAAAGACTAGTTGGTAGCATGTGCCATATCAAAGAGGATAAAAATAAGTGGAGCAGCAACTAATATGCATAATAAGAGGTAAGATGCCAGTGGGTGGAGTGCTAAGAAATATTTGTGTCTATTTGTATCGACTTCACTTGCTTTACCTATGCTATATTTAGCTTCTCTCCCTAATAAAACCAATCATTAAAATTATTTGTATGTTCATGACCCTCATCCTAAAGAGTGGCAGATTCTTTTTACACTTTGAATTCTATCATGATCACCAAGTGTACTATACTTGCAGACCCTAGTGCCAACATAACCTCAAATGGTCAAAACAACTTTCTAAGGCCAACATGCTTTAGAAGATGTGTTAACATGCTGGCCAGACAGCTGTATGTGCTGTGCTCTGTAGCTATGTTACAAGGGCATGAGGATAAACGTGAGCTGGAAGGCTCGTTTGAGAGGAAAGCAGCTGCAGATGTGTAAAGAGAGAAATATTCTGCGAGGCTGGCACTTCACCAAGAATGCACACAGCAGTCACAGGCTGTTAGAGATGGAGAGCTACCAACTCCCCCCGCCCACTGAATATAGCGCTACACAAACATTGACTGAGGAAGAAGAGAAACAACAGAGGGACAGAAAGCAGTGAACAGGACATGGCTATGACCAAACTTACATTCTGATTTCAAGAGCCTGTATGAGAAGCGTTTTCTTTATCTGGCTTCACTTATTCTAAAATCAGACATCCTGTAAACTGTACTAAGATGTTGAGTTACCTACAGTCTTAAGTTGCTTTCAGACACGCACTGAACTCCGGATAATCATTCCCCTAATAAAAACTACAGGGAATGTCCGAATGACCCAATTGGAGAAGACAACAGGAGATTCTCCACAGGCTTCACCTGTGAGTGGGTGTGTGGGTGTGTGTGTGTGGGTGTGTGTGTGTGTGTTGATGGCATTTCAAAAACTGACAGATGCAAAAAAACAATAAGAGTATCTCAGAATTAAAAGGCGTCATACAAATAGGAGACAGCAACGAAGATGTCAAGAGGGTTTTACGATGTTGCCAAATATAAAAATGTTTTTTCCATTGATGATATACTGATTATTTTGGTCACTTGATAGTTTAAGGTGTCAACGACAAAAAGATGAGGTCTTCAAATAGCTAATGCTGGTTGTTTTCTTCTGGAGGGGAGGGTCATGACCGAAAAGACAACAATCAGCAAGCGGTGGTGATTGTCTACATCATCATTTCAAAACAACTGAATTTCTGCTCGTAAAGACTAAGGCACAGCTTTCACAATTAAAAAGGATCAGCAGTGTTTCCAAACTCTTACGAGTACTGTGGACGCCAGACGTATTTGTAGCAGAGTTGATTTGTTTTCAAATAAAAAGGTAGTAGAGTGGATGTAACCTAAGAATGCTCAGAATGATGGAAATTTGAAGCGGAATTTAAGTGCTGTTAACTTCTTAAACTGTTCTTCAGGAAATACTCAGTTCACTTGATCTGTTCAAAACATGTCAAAATATTGCAAAGAAATCAGATAAATTACCATTCTGGGCCGAAGTTAAGAGTCTCAGCAGTCATATTCCTCACGTCCACACAGAACTGAGTATCTGAGGAGAAACCAATGATTAGTTCGTTTGAGGGTTTATAAAAAAAAAAAAAAAAAGAAGAAAAAAAAGAAACACTTGTATGTAATGAATTGGCAGAAGAATAAATGCGCCTCTGACTGCCTTACCCTGTCCAAGTGATCGGAGCAGGCTGGACTGGGCTGGACCAGGCTAGAGCTGGCTGGCTTTAGTTAGGCTTAGGTGACAAAAAGGCTGAGTGGTGCTTAAGCTGTGGTCACAGAGCTCCCCAAACACACAGACACAAAGAGAATAGCTGCCAGTTTCAGGTGCTTGAGGAATACCAGGTTATCAGGTCCTAACTAAGTAAGGAAGGGGTTTCGACGATAGTTTGGAGAATGGAAGCTCCTGCTACTCACAGCCCAAAAAGGTTGTTAAACACAAAAAAACAAAAAGAACCTCAGAAAACAACGATGGAACAAAATAAAAACACTCTTGCTATTAATAATATTTTCTTTCTTTCTTTCTTTTACTACAGCAGTTATATCTCACATTAAAGTTAAAAATATGAACTGATTCATCAAAAACGAAATAACAGCCGAAAGGATGAAACAGGCTGCTGGAACAGCTGCCAAGAGCAGACGCGACACGCACTCCTCTTCTCCTTTCTCTCTCTCCCGTCGTGCCTTTTTCTCTCGCTCCAACTAAAATGTGGATTGACGGACACCCTCCAGGTAACTCCTTTATTTCCTGTCCACCTCCCTTTGCACCACTGGGGAAGGAAAAAAGAGAGAGAAAGAGGATCAGAGAAATCAGACAATTAAAACAAACATGGATAATATTGTTAGAGGTTAGGGCTGGGCAATTAACCCAAAATATATCGAAACTGACATTTTTAACCTCTAAACGTCCTAATTTTGCTCAGGTCGGTTAATACTTTCCCAGATGAGTGCATTCACAAACTGTCAGAAGTTTTTAGGACAGGTATATATCATTATGTATATCATTAATCATAACTGAGGTAAAAGTTGGGAATAATCGTGATATTGCCCATTGCAGGTGTACACTCAATAAATTAGCCGGTGGTAAGATGCATTTTCACAGCTTGGTAGTGTGTCTTTCTTGTTATAGGAAAGGAAATGTAATTTGATTTTGTGTTGTGTAGCCTTGACATACTATATTCGAGGCAGCGTGCCTGGGAATCACTGAATGGCACCAGCCAGATTTGATCAATCCGTTACAGCACACTGAGCCGGGAGAGAAAACACTGCGGTTTTCCTTCACTGAATAAATGAAACGGCAAACTATTTCGAGTTTACTGTTCCACCATGGGCGAGTGTTCCTGTCGCTCACAGGAGATTTTCCATCCAGAAATGTAGGGAGTCCATTTCAGTGATGTTGTGAAGCAGCTGCTTCTAAATGCATGCAGCTGGTTGGGGACGGTTCTTGAAAATGTCATGGCAACTAAACCAATAACCTGGGAACTGCATTTCAACAGATAATCAGGATTCATGGAAGCAGTTCTACTGTGATATTCAAAAAAATCCCATTCTGCAAAACTTCACATCAAGCAGTTAATGGCAAATGTTACCCACATTTGTTTGATGGAAAATTATGGTCATACTTTTTTTTTAACCATCACGTACTTCTCAACTGGCTGAATACAAGATGGGACATTAATAATATTTCCAGCATTTACTAGCATTAGCTTGCGCCACTGATCAGACCTCTGATGAGTTTGTGGGTTTCCGTTTTTAACATTGGCCTTAAAAACTGCTCTAGATTTCTGTACATGGTACCTAATCGACAAACAAAGATATGAGAGGTTTTCTTTTTTCCTCTCTTTTGACACAACAACTTCAACACGACATCCAAAATCACATACTTAGGACTGAGTAGTCCACTATATAGTGAATTCACCATTTGGTAATGCTGTCCGAAAGTTTAGTTACATTTTTATACCCTATATAGTGGACTCATTGTATCCCACAGTGCATTGTGAGACAAATCTGTGAGTTGTGAAGGTAAACATGTAATACGAGCAAAGCAGCGCATCACAGTACAAAGTGCAGCTTACAAGTTAATTTATACATTTAACATGCTTTTACCTTAAAGTATTAATACTAAAGGGTGAAATAAACATTTGAGATTTATTACAGGATCTTCCATCGGCTGATGTTGTAATTTTTGCACGTCATGATCCTGCAACAATTACGCAATTACCGGCACAGGAAAAAGTACAGAGTAGTCCGAAAATGTTTTTAGTTCTTCCTCTTTAGCTCACTATACAGCGCTCTACACAGAAGTCCCTCTACTGTGGGTATGGGTTCAAGAATGATTGGGTGATTTTGGACACAGCCAGTCTAAAATTACTATTGGATCATGGAGCTAGCAGACACACGTGTTTGAAATTATATGTCTTAAATGTTGACAGTATCAGGGGACTATAGATTTAGGCAGCTTAACTAACACATTAAATCAAATGTAACCAATATGGTGGGCTGGATTTAAGGGGATTGTCACAAATGATTTGATAGTTGCCTCCAACTTCAGCAGCTGTATGATAGAACATCCGTGTCGGTACCATGTTTGATTTGATTCAGGTTTCTAATCATAAATACTTATGTGACGTGAATGCACCTGATGACTGAAGACTGTGGCAGAAAAGTTCAACCTTGTCTAAGGTAAAGCAAGAATTCAAAGTTACTTCAGTGGTATACTCATAAAACAATTTTGCTGTTTTGTTTTACTCAATTTTGATATTTTAGTTAATATCTTTTTTTTACTACCCTGTACATGTAAGAGGTCCTGTTTAATGTGGAGGTTTGTGGGTTCAAATTTGGCAATAAATACACTTTATATAGCCAAGTGCTAAAAAACAGGTCAACTGGACCTGGCTGAGTTTCTGGAAGATATTTCATCTCTCATCCAAGTGGCTTCTTCAGTTCTAACTGACTGCTGACAGTGCCAGGCATTTAGATGAGAGGTGAAATTGCCATTTGGTCCAGTTTGCATTCGACAGCAGGATAGGCTTTAGAAGCTTTTCATTTATAAATTAATGCTTCTTTGTTTTGGGGGTCATCTGCTGGAGATGGTGTTGAGAGTGAGAGTTCTCTCCCGTCATTGTGGTGTTAAACTGGGAAAATAAGGCCACGGGGTTTGAAAAGCGAGTGCACAGATCTCCTCAGACCTGCTAAACCACAATAAACTCCCTTATGCCACTGACGGAGTTCTCTCATGCACATGTGGGAATACTGTGATATTTGCAATCAAAATGAAAGCAATGATAATTTGGTGACAACTGTAACTTTAAAGTTAAGTATAAATGAGGTAAAGTAACCCATTTGACATAGCTCAATAATGGAGGGGATGCGATTTGTTGACTTGACAGAAGGAGGAAGAATTGGGAATATATAACTTTATCCCAAACCTGTTCAGGCCACTAGAGTTTCTAAGATGACTCCAGACTTATGGCCACAACTGACCGAGAATTGTTTTAGTGTGAAGTGAACATTTTGTACTGAACAGACTGAGACAAGATCACTGAGGAATGAAGCCACTTGTATTGTGCATGTGGATGTTTGTGCATTTCAAAACGTGGCGGGACAGCGTGATCTCGGGCTCAGGGAGGCGCAGATTGAGGAGCTATGCTAACGCTAACTTTAATCGCACACCGCTGCGTTACTTCGAACACAGTGATAACAGCTAATTGTTTGGTTGCGCTAACTTAAAGAGAAAAGAGCTCGAGTTGACGTTAGCTGCCGTCAGTGGTTGCTAACCACATTCGTACATGCACTCCAACGTCTTCCGAGCCAATTAGCATAGATCGGTTTATAGAAGGAAAGGAAGGTAAAAAAAAAACAGTGGCTAACTTCGGCTAAAAATATAGTTATCTCGATGTGCAGCACAGATGAAGCTTGCTAACTTGCTACCTAACCTAGCACAAGGTATGCGCTAGTCGTAAAGGCCTTGGCTTGTAGGTTCAAATGACACCAGATATGATGGCGGAGGGGGGCGGAGTGTTGGGCTCGGACTACCCGGCCTGCAACGCCAGTGTGCGGACGACCACCTCCGCTGCACCGTCGGTGTTCAGCGGGGCACCGAATCGACGTGGGCCAAAAAAAAAAAAAAAACACAATGACGGAAAAACAACAATCTTGGTTTCCTTGTCGCGACACAACTCGGCGGAGATGCGCTCCTCGCAGCCCGCGACGCGAGGTTAGCACGTTAGCTCGCGTTAGCCTGCTAGCTAAAAGACAAGCTGCAGAGAGGCTTACCTTCACTGTGTGTAGCTACCAGACTGCTGGTCTGCGCGGTGCGGCTACAGCCAATATGTCGCCTGCATTGGTCTCTTTAAACACTGTAAACGTATTCATTCGACAGAATCGCACTTCCACAAAGTCGTGCTCCGCGTTGTGTTCACTATTTCCCCCCTCTCCTCCGACGGTCGCTGCTGCGTATCAGTGTGTGTCTGCTGGCTCCCAGTCGCTGCTCCTCTTGTTGTTTGTGTTTCGGAAACATGGCCGTCCGTGTGACACCACGTGACTGGACACTGACAAGCGCCCTAACCCAACGTTGGAGTGGGGCGAGCACACACCGACCGAGCAGCCCGGACACAGATCGCGTCCACTTTGCACTCTGAGACGGATTTTTCCGTTTTAGATGGAGGGCGGTGAATATCCTGCGAGCTGCGGGGGCAAGCTAACTCCAGCATGGGGCTGTAGAGGAGGAAGGCATCGGCAAAAACAGCTTGTTCTGTACACACACACACAACTTTACCTCCTGCAAAGTTGTTTACTAAAACCACACAGTCAGTGGCTTCAAGTGTGGGGTGCTTGATGTTTTTTCAGCTATTGTCTCATTAACCTCGGAGTAGAAGTGATCGATGCGCAGGGCATGTCCTGCGTTTGTAGGATGTAGTAGCGGGGTTTGATCGACAGCGGGCGCTGTTGAACTGCAGTGGCACCGCATGCACGGATGATTGTTGTCCCCAACTGCGAGATGAGCCTTGAACGTGTGATCAGATCAAATGTGTCATGCAAAATTGTTACTTACATCCTTAAAGCTCTCAATTCATTTTGGGAATCTTTCATCCACTTTATGGAAAAAGAAGATATGGCTCTAGTACTATAAGAGTCTGCAGAAAGAGGTGATAAGTGAAGGGAGAATGGATGACTGTGAAGAGGGAGGATAAGTAACCTTTTGTGCAGTTTGTTTGGTTTGTTGCTGGGTTTTTTCATGTTTTTTCTTTTCGCCATTTCACTACTTATTTGTTTCCACCTTTGATTTCTTATGTTGAAAACAAATAAACAAATGCAAAAAAAGTGTCATGCATCGTTAAAGGAATTCACATCCTTAAGTTCACTACGCAGAAGTTGTTTGCAAATTAAAGCCATTGGATTCAACATAAGTGCTCCTTTCTGCAATTTCCACTGCTTTCATTGAATAACATGTAACATGTCCGTCCACCCAGGCAGTGATCACAAATGAGAAAGTGTTTAAGGAAATGAAAAAGCTTTATAATTGCAGTTGTGTCTCGTGTCTATTAAAACTGGAGTTAGTTTGATTGGACATGACTTCTGAAAATTAATCAATAATGATGGTTAAAAAGATCTAGAGGCACATTTGAACCTGCAGGTGATCAAACCAGTCAAGGGGAGAAACTGGGGACCACACAGTCCAAGACAAAGCTAATAAAATGGAGTTAAAACCAGCCTACTTTATAATTGCGCTGTGTTAAGGATCATCAGAGCAATAGCAATTTTGTAAATAAGGCAGTATTATTAACCGGGGGCCCCCAAAAATCCCTGTGTCAAAATGCAGCCCATCATTTTATTTTCTATCGTTTCTATACTGTGTAGAATTTCCTTTCTTATAAAATTGACACAGCCCATATAATGTGCAGACAGTGGACATCAGTGTCACTTTTGGCCTCTTGGCCCCAAAGCAGGTCAGTCCAGCCCTGGAGGTGCTTCTAGTATTCTCAGATGTTTCAAATGTTTTGTTAAATGAGTAAATACAGTGAAGACAGTGACTTTATGTGATAAGTTAGAATGTGGACACGGCTTGTGCAGAGATGCATCACCACACAGAAATTGTGGAAGCAGATAAGTCAGTGATCCAGCCAATGGGTTTGCTCTGGGCTGCTGCTGCTTTGCATTCTCAGTCTCTATCCAACAGCCCTTACACTTAATATGAAGGCAAAACCAATACAAGGCTATATGTTACACAGAAAATGCAGAATTTCCTCCTTCATGTAGGTGTGTGGCAGCACATGTCAAACCCAGACATGCAGGGGGAAATCATTTGTTTTTCCATCAACTCCAGCTGAGTGAGGATGCTTCTGTTCCACACCTGGGCCCTGTCCTTCTCCCTGCTGACGGCCTACCACCTGGTGAGTGCTACTGTGTCAAACAGCTTTAGAGACTGCAGTCATTTTTTCTACATGCAGACCCCACCTGCAGGGGTCGGAGGGCAGAGCCTGAGGTGGATCTGCCAGATGTATGCAGACAAAGTGCGCTATGCCACATTGTATGACAGCAGCCGCCGTCTACCCCTCTACTCGGCCTACATCTTTCAGAAGTCTGATGGGAAGAGAAGGATGGACACACCCTGGATGTATGAACCTCAGGTACAGAGCATAAATTAATCAGTTGATCACATTTTATTTGTATGGCCCATATTCACAAATCGTCTCATTGGGCTTAACAAGGTGGAACATTCTCTGCCCTCAACCTTCAAAAACTACCAAAATGAGATGAATTGTGATGACATCAATATAAGCAATAATGGTTGTTTATGTGAGTAGTCAAATTTGTATATCCAGGCAACCTAGATGTAACCATCAGCTGCCACCACCATCCACGATCATAATCCACGATATGTCCTCAGCCACGTTCCTGGATCTGCATCGATAAGGTGAATCTCTCCTGGGAAGAAGTCAAGTCAGTTACACATATCGATGAGACATTATTGTGATGAAGAGGAAGAGGAGGAAAAAGAGGCTCCATGTGTCATGTGTCCCCTGACAATCGAAGACTGTAGCAGCATATACACGTACGATGCTGGTCCAAGGCCGCACCGAAGCAGTTGAATGTAAATCTTTATTTAAAAAAAAGAAGGTTTTGTTCGGCTGTCCACGACTGTCTGTCTGGTATTTAAGGTGTTCCTTTTGAAAACAAAAGAAGAGAAATAGAAAAAGCATCAGCAGAACACAACAAAGATGAATGAGCCACTACCTGTTAGGCTGAATCACCTGTTAGTCCCTCAAATATTCCCCTAAACAAATAACTCTTCAGCTTTATTATACAGGTATGAAAATAAGCTACTGAGATCATTAATTAAAAATGCAGTTGAATATTTCAACTGTGGTACTGCATACTGGAATTGTGCTGGGCTTCAGCCATTTCCAAAATAAATAATGCCTCGTTTTTTTATCTCTTTCCTACAGTTGCTCTCTGGTGATGAAGGTGCACACATGAGAGCCCTTCCCCTCACTGATGACACCCCCCCTCTGATTGAGGGCAGCCAGGCCGTGTTGGAGGACTACACAGACGCCGTTGGGTATAGACGTGGCCCACTCAATCCTGACTTGCACCAAGCGGAGCCGGATGACAAATCCTCCACCTACACCCTGACCAACGTAGTGCCATTTATCACAGACTTCCTGCATACCTCCTGGAATCCATACTTGGACACCGTCCGCAGGCGCCTCAATAACTTCTGCCATGGCAAATCTTTCATGGTGGCAGGGGTGACTGTTTCAGGGGCGACTATCCAGCGAGATAAAAGGGACCGCCTTGCGATCCCAAAACACTTGTGGCTGGCATATTGCTGCCCTTGGTTCGACCGCAACTCCCCATATGAGGTGAGGTTTATGTTCCCTAGTTATGGGGGCTATGCAGTGAATGGACAGACTGGCCACAGTGTGATGGAGGTGCCTCTGAAGACTCTGGAGGACTTCCTGAGGAGCCAGACAGACATCTTTAGGGACTTGACTGTTTTCTATAAAGGCTGTGTGTCAGAAAATCCCTTCAAGAAGAAGAGAGACATGTCCCAAGGAAATAGAAATAACTTAGATAATCTTCAATAGATTGAAATCCAGCAACTAATTCCACAAACATCTGTCCGCCTGTATGTGGATTTCATATCTCAAGAACTATTCATCTCATCAGCTTCACACTTGGCATTTGTACTGTAAATTGCCGAATAAAGTTCTGTGCTGATTTTAGCGCGATTTGTACACGCAACGCGTTAACTATAAATACTATATGAATAAACATGTGATCAGTCCTGTGTCACACAGTCGTTAGATAATTTTGATATTCTGATTATTTTTATTAGAGTATCGATTCGACACAACATTCATGGAATCGTGTCCTTTTTAGCGGTTTGTCTTCAAAGTAAAAGCACAACATTTGTTTTTTTGCTGTTATGCTTCATATCAAGCTAAATTACAGAGCTTTTAAATTGAAAACTTGAAGATTGCGTCGGTTGCTTGACAGACCTCTGAAATTGCCGACAGGCATTGTACAAAAAGATAAAACTGTTTAATAGATCCTTCAGACTAACATACAAGCCACATGTGATAAAGCAAATTCAAATTGAAAAACATTGGCTATAAGTTCTTCATTGCAGATAAACCAGGTAGGATCAACACAAAGTTTTCTAACTTCACTCTGCAAATTCAAATATACAAAAGCTCTGCACAACATCAAACACACAAATAAAACAAAATGAATTGTAAATCTGTGTGAGAAGGACTCACTAATGACAAGGAACAATTCTGAAGTAGCTCTGGAGCAATTACACAGGACAAGAAAACAGCCCATTCCAGTTTTAGAATGAACACTGTACTAGTTCTCCCTTAATTTCAACAGGTTTAGATGATCCATCAGTATCAGTGAGGATGAGTGGGTCATAGAAGAGATTGCCAACACATCCCTCCATTATGTTTACTGCTGGGATCTTAGTTAATAAACTAGTGGCATGAAAACCACAAGTACCTTCAACATTCTATGGTTTTTCTTTTTTTCTTCTCATGATTTGTATAAGGAACATTTTCTCAATACCATCACAAAATAGAGAAACGGGTTTGAGTGCTTGATTCTGAATGGATTATGCACTTTCTAGTTTGGCTTTTTTGAAGCTAATTGTACTTGAATTACATGAATTGTACTGCTGTTCTGGATTTGTACTGTCATGGTTGAATGCACTTATTGTAAGTTGCTTTGAATAAAAGCGCCAGCTAAATAGTACTGTAATGTAATGAAATATGAATGTAAATAAAAATCCCTAATTAATTTAGTTTCTTTTGCAAGTTGCAACCGATGTATTGCAGAACTTCAGTCCTGTTAGTAGTCTCTAAGAATGCGCTATTGGCCTTTTATACAAACACATCTTGCTATACTCAAACAGAAAATGCCACAATATAATCCTTTCGATTCCCCTAAAAGATGCTGCTATTTAAACCAATCAAAACTACTTGTAATTCAGCAAGGCACAGGCTACAGGTAATCTTTGAAAACCCTATGACTGTGTCCTATAACCGTCCCTCTGGTTGTGGGTGGATCTGAGGTGTAAGAGGCGCATAGTTTTGCATACTGAACCCAGATTATAGAGAATAGAGTGTGAAACCTGTGTTGGCTGTGTTACTCAGCTCCACTGGCAGAAACAGAGACGTCATTTAAAGGAAGACACCTGACATAAGGCACCCCCTGGCCATGGCATTTTGGGTGCAAACAGCCGTCCAGCTCGTCGCCTTGATAACGTCAGTGGTGAGGGGGAGAGTGGAGAAAGAGCTGTCTCCAGAGTGCAGAGAATTCCTCTACATGGGGACACCACCGATAGGGCTGGGGCACCACTCCCTGCAGTTCATTTGTCAACGTTACAACAAGAGGGCACGCTATGTGACGCTGTACAACACTGTGGACCGTATACCTGTCTACTCTGCCTACACCTTCAAACGCTCCGAGGGGGAGGGTTGCGTCGATGTGCCTTGGATGTATGAACCTCAGGTAAAGAAAAACTAAAAGGTTGGACACAAGGCAGTAAGAATGTCTTTTCTTTGCTGATATCATGTAAGCACTGTTGTACAGAAGCTTTGGAGTTAACCAATGGTGACTAATCACCATTCTGCTGTAATATCATTAACCTGGCCCTGTCTTCACAGCTATCCACATCCTCTGATACAGATGAGATGCAGCCCTTCCCACATGATTACATTCACAAGAATTTTGAAGATACCCAAGCTGTTCTGGATGACTACATGAACGCCGTCATCTACGAACGTGGCTCTCTCAACCCAGACGAGCATCAGGGTGAGCCTGACGACAAGGCCTCCACCTACACCCTGACCAACGTGGTACCCATGGTGCCCGACTTCCACAACACAGTCTGGAGCAAATGGGAGCATGTTGTCCGCAAACGGCTTAACAACTATTGCCGTGGCAGAGCTTACATCGTCACAGGTGTCACCACGTCGGGGAAGATGATCCGCCAGCAAAACATCAACCGCATTGCAGTGCCAACATACCTGTGGTCGGCTTATTGCTGTGTTGACTTCGACCACAATGCTCCTTATGTTGAGCGCTACAAGTTCCCATCTTTTGCCCACTACGGCCTCAATGCGGAGAACAATGAGGTGGTGGAAACGTCTGTCCAGAAGCTGAAGGAGTTCCTCCAGAGGACCACCTTTGTAGACCAGAACTTTCAGATCTTTGTTGGTGACTGTGCCCCACCCACACAGATTTAGCTGTAATGTCGCTGTGTGGCTTAATTATCTTTATTTATCACAGCAGAGATTTGTATTTGCCATAATATGAAAGGCACATGTTTTAATAATTACTGTCCCAGTAAGTCATGATAGTGAGGAGGTGAGAAAGCATGTACTGTAATCCTGCAGAAAGCATGGAATTTGTATCATGAATTGTGATTTGACTGCATTTTGAACATTTGATTGAGAGGTAACTGTTTAAATATCACTGAAAATGTTGAGAAGAACCTTTGTCTAATTTGCAATAATAAACCTAAGCAAAGTTTCACTGAACAGTCTGTGTAGCATTTCTGTGGTATTTCATACACTGGTTATTGGTAACATTTGAAAGACAATTGTTAGACATACTTTTACAGCACCAGCAGTTGTACAGTAATTACATTAACACTAACAAAGCTTTTCATAAGCTTTTGTCGCTGAGACATATAAACTCTTGACCATTGGTATCTATGCTGGGAAGAGTACACTGAGAATGGTATGCAAAACTGAATTAATACAAAACATAACGACATCTCTATGTGCACTACGTCCCATTTTTTATTTCTTCCCTCTGTGGTTTCACCCAGTAATAAAGAGATTTCGTTCAGACCTTGTGAATTGCTGCTCCGACAATCGTGGCACTTTGAATACATGCAAAAGACTTTACAATGGGAGGCCAGTTTGCTCGAGGCAAAGATGAGGTGACAAGGGAAATGTTGGGTCTGATAGGGCTGGGACAGAGGCTGTATTTGTTCAATAGCAGAGTTGCAGTGGTGCATTACAGGTGAGAGAGAGACATACAAAAAGGGAGAAGAGACTAAAAGGACCTAAAAGGTGAGAGATGGAGCAAAAAGGAGCAGCCAAGATTATACTTACACCTACAAAGGGTGCCATCATGACTGTGCTGGCCTGTGTGCTGCTACAGGGGGCCCGAGCAGGGGTGGTGGAGGACTTCAACCATGTGGAACGCTGTAAAGACTCACTGTACATGGGCACTCCACCTCAAGGCTACCTCGGCAACTCCTTTGAGAAGATCTGCCAGAGGTACGAGGACAAACCGCGTTATGTCACCTTGTACGACCCCCGCAAACACATTCCCATCTATTCTGCTTACACGTTCAAGAAGTCGGACGGGGAGAAGAAGGTGGACTTCCCTTGGATGTTTGAGCCGCAGGTAAGTTATTTCTATGTTTATCTGCATCGATATGATTAGTTTGAATTTATTAAGTCACATTTGATTTCATCTAGAGTCAATGTAGACTTTGCCTGTTCATGTGGAGGTAGTATACCAAATATTTCACACATTCACACCTTAAACTGCAGTTAGAGAGCTGAGGCAACAACACCACTGTTGCTACAAGTAAGCTATGAACAGTATTTTAGTGTTCATCATTAATGATTCACTATTTAGTTTTTGTGAACGTGGTAAATTGTCTGGATATGAATAATGATGTCAGTCATCGTTTTCTAAAGTATTAAAAATTACATTTTCAGCAATACTGTACCACTTCTCCTCTGTCTCCCCCTACAGTTGGCCTCTGAGAAAAGCAGCAGCAACATGGAGCCCTTCCCACAATCCTCAAGCATGCATATGAACTTTGAGGACACCCAAGCTGTCCTCGAGGACTATGCTGATGTCGTTCAATATGAGCGAGGCCAACTAAATCCAGATGAGCATCAGGCGGACCCTCTAGACAAAGCCTCCACCTACAGCTTGACAAATGTGGTACCTCAGAGCAGGGAGTTCAACTTGGGCCCCTGGTTAGGGCACCAGGAGCTAATTCGCAAGCGCCTCAACAACTACTGTCGCGGCAAGGCCTTCGTGGTCACCGGGGTGACGACCTCCGGGCACACGATCCGCCGAAACAACCTGGACCGGGTGGCTGTGCCAGAATACATGTGGTCGGCCTACTGCTGCACCGAGTTTGACCAAAATGCACCGTTCTTTGAGCGCTACAAGTTCCCCGCATTCGGAGCTTACGGGCTGAATGATCACGTCAACAACCACATGGTGGAGGTTCCTCTCAAGAACCTGGAGAAGTTCCTCAAAGGGAGGATGGATGTGGACAAGAACTTCCAGATTTTCTACAAGGACTGTGTGCCAGATATATAAAATCAAATGGCTGCCATGTCTCTTGAATTTAGCATTTGACAATAGAAAGGTTTGTTGTTCTTGAGGCTCAATAACATATTGTGAGCAATAAAGGAGAATTTGTAAAATCGACAGGTCTAAATGTCCCTGATTATTTTCATTACTTTTTATTTTATTAATTTATTTTTCACATACAAAATGCAGGTTTTGCTGAAAATGAAAAAGATGCTCAAATGAAAAAGATAATGTGCCACAAATCCTCATATTTGTGAAGCTGGAACCATTGAATCTTTTTTTATTTTTGCGATTAATTGATGGTCAAAAGTAAAATTATTCTTCCAATAAAATCCAGTGTTTAGAATATAGGACAAAATGGTGATCAGCTTGGCAGTGACACAATAATGGTGAATATAGGACAAAATGGTGAACATCCAACAAATGTACAAGGGATGTTCACCATCTTGTCCCATATTCTAAACACTGTAAAATAATTATAAATACTGGCACCAAAGAAAGTTATTTCTACATTTACAAAGCCTTTAAGTAAATACTGACAGCGTCCAGTCCATTTTTAATCATCTGGCTCAATTTACATCTTTACAACATGGATAATAAGAAGTAATTCAAATAAATCCAAAGAAATGCATCTAGTTTTGACTCAATGGGAGAAACCACTGAGGGAGATACTTCATATGTATCAAATAAGATCTGAGATTCAACGTGATATTAATGGAACAGTAACAAATAAATGATGATCATCACACCATAATTTATGATAATTGTATCCACAGGGTGGCACTGCAGCCCTTTGTCAACAAACATACTGAAAATACATTAACTGACTGGACACTTTCCATGGCACCTAGATGAGAAAATCCCAGGATCTGTTCTAGTTCACCCACACAAATAACTAATGTGTGTGTGTGTGTGTGTGTCAAAGATCTGGAATCCAGTTTACATAAGGTTTTTGGCAGTCTGAGGCATGCACAGATTATAAAACGAACTCTGATCCAGAGAGGACACTTTTCTCCACACCACCCACCCTCGTCTCTGCAGATCTGTCTTCTCCAGCTGACGTCCATAGTAGTGAGGGTCAATGACTAGCAAGTAACTCCCCTCGTCCCCAGTGCACACCCCCACTATGCCCTTAGAGGAGTTGTCCCTGTCCCCCCCCATCAGGACTGGAGACCCATGCTTCTCAAAGTGCTGATGGAGCTCTTCCGCTGCAACATGCTCCAGCTGTGCCTCTCCACCTCTGATGTGCACCAACTTACAGGGAACTCCATAGAAATGGTCAAGAACCAGGGAGGCCTCGAATGTTCCGATCCACTCCCTGGAGCCCAAGAAGGAGTCCGGCTTGTCCCCCATGGCGACCAAGGCCTTCTGGATTTCTGGGAGACTGGGTGGGGGTCTGCTCTGGTGCTTCGGTGGAGACAAGTTGTAGCAAATCCAGGAGGCCATCGTCTCAACGGTGCGGTAGCCACATCCCCAGCCTCTGTCATCTTGTCCATCGCAGCCATAATGGAAGTACAGAAAGTCTCCTGTGATCATGGTGCATTTCAAAGGACCTGAGAGTGGCAGAGGAAGATCAGTGTGGACGCTCTTTGACAGAGGTTTGTCCTGATCAGGCATCTGCTCTCCAGCTCCACTCCCTCCCCAGTCAATCCCCTCCGCTGCCACAACCCTCTCATCCATCTCTGACCTTTATCTCACAGAGCACACGCAACCATTACTCACACGTGTAAAAACCGTGGCGCCATGTTATTCCAATACCCGTGCGCGTTCACGGGCTGCTCGGAGGATCCCATTTCCCCGAGTTGTGAGGTCGGTGTGTGGAGAAAAAATAAAAATAAAACTAATAGAAACATAAACAAACTGTTTAGTATTTATGTTTCGATTGAACAACACATCGACAGCTATTTCCATTCTTTGCATGATAACGAAGAGCAAAGAAAAAGAATATTTGACATGTGCGTATAAATATTTTTTTTGATTTAACTTTGCAAGACAAGAGACAAGATATCGACAAAACAATACAAAAACAATAATGTAGGAGAAAATTAATACAGAAGAATAAAATACCATCATTACAATTACCAATAAACAGTGATAATAAGCATCGATAGTAATGCTTATTGTGGTAAAACTTGTCAATAATAAAAACAACATTATATTAATTTTTTTTTAAGTTATGCCAGCAATAAACACATACACAAGAAGAACACCATAACAAGAAGAATCGTTTTTCCAGATTATTCCGACACCACGTGAACTCATCGTAAACTTCCGGCGCACGGAGGCGACAAACATCCGCCCGGCTAACGCAGCAGCTAATGCCGCAGCTGCGTGAAAACCACGCACCCCAGACTGTGCGTGAAGAGATACGGCAGCTCTGTCACTTTGACTCCCTCCTCAGAAGGTGAGCGAACTCTGCACACACACAAACCAACACAAGCATGGACGCTTCACCGCAATAACGCACAAAACGCACGGCGAGTTAGCCTGAGCTACTGCTAGCTAACGTGTGAGAAGCCCGGACGTGTTTATCACAACCTTGAATGACAGAAGACCTGTGTTCTATCACCTGAACATGGTGACACGAGACGAAGAAGAAGTAATGCTGTAGCAGTTGTCACATATTTTAAAAATCATTCATTCATTAGGCTGCAGCTCTTTTTAATGATCGATTAATTGAAATAGATAAGAAGCAAATAATCACAGCAGAGGCTGATCTTCGACTTTTTTAATTTAATATATCTGTAGTTTTTTTTTTTCTTCTGTTGATGGGCTTGTTAATAAATGCATTTGATTTTTAATTTGCCAAATCATTCCTGCAGGTTCTCCAGGATGTATGGGTGCATCTCAACATTTATCATCAGTTATTAAAGAGTAAGAAGAGTTAACATAGTATAGACTCATTATATGCAAACAAATGTTCAAGCATTTTTCTAAGCTAATACAGAATAATGTTGTCTACAGCTAAAGAGTATATCAAAACATTTAGATGTTATTTCGATCATATAATTTCATCACTTTAAATTAATTTCTCTGTTCCCTCAGCTTCATCATTAGGCTGCAGCTGTAACTGACACAGAAAACCATGACAGAGCCGCGCAATCCAGGGACGTCCTCCCTCCCGCAGTCGGCCCCAGTACACGCAGACTCCACCTCGCCTGCTGTCGAGATGGACCCTGTGGAGTATACCCTCAGGAAGCGCCTCCCCCGCAAACTCCCAAAGAGACGCAACGACGTCTATGTCAACATGAAGACTGATTTCCGTGCTCAGCTGGCGCGCTGTCAGAAGCTTCTGGAAGGCGGGGGTCACAGGGAGATCTGTGTCCACGGCCTGGGCCTCGCCATCAACCGGGCCATCAACATTGCCCTTCAGCTGCAGGCCAGCAGCCAGGGGGCGCTGCAGCTTGCGGCCAACACGTCTACGGTGGAGCTGGTGGATGACCTGGAACCCGAGGATCCCGACGAGGCCGGGGAGCCCATGACGCGTACACGCAACAACTCGGCTATTCATATCAAGGTTTACTACCCTGACCCTCAGTGACATGAACTGAGGACTGCCCAGTGTGTGGCAGAGTGGCAGTATTCCCCAGGAGACCAGAAAACATTGTCGGTGGGGGCTGTTATTGTGGGGACATTTAATGGCAGAGCAGTGCAGAATGGAGCAGACAAGCATTAAGTGTGTGATTGTATCACTAACCCATGTGGGCACGGACAGCCTCACTTGTCTGAATTTATAGAGCTGTTACTTTTGTGTTGTGTCCTGCCTTTTTAAGTTTGCATGTGTTGAAGCAGTGGTGATGTTCTTAAGGTGAAACCTCAATGTAATTTAATACCTGTGTTCATGTCATGCACTTATACATGTGAAACGTACACGTAAGAGTATCTATAATTTGAATAGCCAAAGGTCTGCGCAAGGATTTAGTTTCAGGTTTTCACAGATACAAATAATCAAAAACTGAGACACCATGAGTTAACGTTTCTAGCAGGTGTTATCGGTGTCCACTAGATGTCATCAGTCAGGCAAGTAGGATGTTATCCCTCTGCAAACTAATATCTATGGCACCAAGTCACAGTCTATTCTCAAACCTGTTTTATAACATGAGTTCAGCTGAGGGTCAAGGAATCTGATTTATATTTGGCTTTGTGTCATTGAACTGCTGTTATTTACTTTGATTAGAATGGATGTAGTAGACAGGTATCTAGAACATGATGAAAAAAAACTATATGCTTGCGAGTATGTCTTTCTTTGGCTACCTCTTTATCAAGGGCAGGAAAATCTGATCGAGATGCATGTAAGAGCTGCGAGGTCTGAGATAGCAGCTTGTATTGAGCTCGCTCACTCCACTGACCTGGAAAGACAAAAACGTAATCAACGAAATGGACAGACTTCCCCTTGTTGTGTTTCCATCTATCCTTTCTTTATCCAAGAATAATATTTTTGTATTTAAATAGCAAATTATACAGTTATATGACAAAACAGCGAAAAAAAATAACAGGAAAGGAAAACATGTACAAACATCCTTAAAAACATCTTGCACTTGCACAACAAGATAAAAAAAATACGGGAAAAAACAAGGAAGACCACTTAACTAGTCTGAAATAGTTGAGCTTCCATTTAATAGAAAACCTCAAGTTCCCAGGACTAACTGATTGCCTGTCTGCCGTTTGATGACGAACAACGGAGGCATTAGCGTCACGTTCTGGGAAACAATTAGCAATTAGAGCCTCACAGGATGTTAAATGTAAGAGCCGTACACTTTTTCCCCCCAGACAGTCTCGCCATCAGCGTGTAGAGACTAGTTGAGTTTTGATTGGGAAACGGCTTCACAGCTCTCATGTAAATCTCCTCCTCCTCACTGACGCTCACTGACGCTCACTGCCTCCGTGCCTCAGCGTCGAAGTCTCAGTCTTTGGCTGCTACTTTTGAAGGAAGAAACCGTAACAGCAAATGGGGTACATCCAGTCTATAAAAAGGAAGACAGCAGCGTGCCAGTGCAAACGGTGTCAAACACCTTTGCAAATGTGTTCAGTGTTACAAGAGAACATGGCAAGGAGAGCCCAACTACAGTATTAAAGATCCAACAGCAAAAATACAACGACTTGAGCTTTAAAAGTAGAAAATCTGTATAAATAGTAATTACACAACCATTAAAAAATATATTAAAATATTCTGTGGACAAAAAACAAACTTAGAAGACGAGTGTTTCTGTGAGGCCAAGTTAAAAGGTTGATGGCTGAGGCCACGTGAATTTTTTTCTACTTTTTGCAGTGGTATTGGGAACGGATGTCGTGACCTCTCAGACACAATTTCCAGGTGGAATCAATATTTGCTGGGTGTTTCACTCCGATGAGAAGAGTGTGAGGGGGTCAATCTCACTGGAAACAAACAGATTTCAACTTGTAGTCTTAACTTAGACAGAAGTACATCCACACATAAAAGTGCAAGAGAGTGCCAGTAGAACAGCTATTGGAGCAGTGCTTCCTAAAGGCCTCTCTGTTTTTTTTTTGGTCAGGTTTTTCTTCACCGTGTTCATGTGTCACATCTACATAACAAGGTGCTATCGTCTCCCAGTTCATCCGCAGCCTGGATCGAACTGTCCTTTCCTCTCTTCCGCTCACGTGAGGACGGCCGGATCTTTCCTTTTTCCATGCCACATCAACCAGCCAGGGGTGCAGGTCAACAGTGTCAAGTCCCTCCTCTTTGCCTTTGGAAACACACATTCGTCTCGCCCGGAGTAGGGACAGCAGCTGATCAGCTGACATCCGTCTGACAAGCCTGTGCGCCCGAAAGGAGGAGTTGCACTTTGCCCCGCAAGAAATTGACATAGTCTTTAAGCAAATCTGCTGCAGAGGACACGATCCATGTTCCCTCAAGCCCAGCTGCCCTCGTTGGTGGGGTATATTCCTATAAGGGAAGACAAAGAAGCATGTTGGTGTCGTATTCATTTGAAAAATCTATTTATTCTTTGTGTTTCCTCAACTTTTGATGTAATCTCAAAACATATGCTGCATCCAGCGACATTTACCCCAGAGGGCGTCAACAAAGCCACAAAAAAATGACTCAAGCAATCTTAGTTAAAGTAGAAAACGACTATAACTCTCTCACGTTGATCAGCTTGGCAGTGACACAATAAGTAATGCTGCCAGGTTTGGTTCATTTTATTTAACATTCTCCTCTGTTGTCACTGGTGTAAAATAACCTTTTTACTTCCAAGAATCCTGAGCCTGGACACAGACTGCTCATTCATAATTACTTTGTCTGTTCACAAGGCCTCAGCCTGGACCCAAACATCATTTCAAAGGCTGTGTTGTCATAACTGCAGCCAACTAGGAAGCTCGCACGGCAGCTCCAGTGCCCACAGCCTATTCCTGAAAGGCTCAGAGAACGTCCCATGACAACCTTCAGTTTCAATGCCATTTTATTTAAGCTGAGAGAGTTGAAGCGCCTGACTGAAAAGATTATAGATATCTCAAGTGAGGCACGAGTGATACATATACGTGTAGTGGTTAGCATTGTTGCCACTGAAGGTTCCCGGTTTGAATCCCATTTTGGCCTGGTTCTTTCTGCCTGGAGTTTGTGTTGTTCTTCCCTCGTTTGCTTGGGTTTTCTCCAGCTACTCCCATTCCTCCCACAGTCCGAAGACATGCATGAGCGGGGTTAGGTTAACTGGAGAATCGAAATTGACTGTAGGTGTGAATGCAAGATTGAAAGGTTGTTAATCTCTGTATGTCGTCCCTGAGATACTAAAATGTCGTTATGAAACCCTTTGGAGGAAGAAATGTATGAGAGTTGATATAAAAAGAAAACAAACACATCCACATATGTAGAATAAATAAATACATTTTTTTTGACATAAATTGTAAACATGAATGTACATCTTTTCTATATTGTTTATTCTGCACATCAACAAACACAAACGCAGATACCGATGTGTCTGTGAGGCTCATATCGGCCAGTAACTAATTCTAAAAAGAATTGGAGAAAGCGTGTACATGACAAACTTTCCTGTCTCTGATTTAAAAAAGGTTGAAACTGTTCCTTCAAAACAAAGTGCATTTCAGAGCCTGCTTATTAAAATTATACTATTTGGCTCTTTTCACACTATTGGGGTTGACGGTGTTGGACTCACCTGGATTTTGTGACGGCTCACCACAGCGTTGATGCTGTTCAGGTTTCTTATGGAGTTATCTATGTGGCTGTGTAGCGCCGTGTTGGTGACAGAGGTTCTCAGCAATCTGAGGGCCTGTTGTAGGAGCCGCAGGCCGGACTGCACCTCCTCGTTTTGCTCCAGTGCCTTGTCGAAAAATGTAGAGAGGACAAGAGTTGAAGAGTCTCATCGTGGGAGAGAGAAGGAACAAACGGATGAGGGCCTTCATGTGGCCTGGACAAAATGTGGGATGTGGGCCAAATGTGGGCCAAAACAATTTAATCAGCTCTCCCATTACAAAGAGTTAAACAAAAAATAACCCAAAAAGTTTGTGGCACATAGAAACAGGACATTTCTATGACATGCAAATGGCAAATCTAAATTGTTAGCTCACTTACATTTTTCTTCTCCCAGACATCTAGGTTGACTGTGGTTGGGGGAACAGTGACAGAGTAGGACAGGCCGCATCCTTCACTACATGACTTCTAGAAAAACAAGACAGGTATAACATTTATAGAAATGTTCAGTGGGGGTAACTCAAGGGCCGCTGTGTCTCTCTAGCAGCTGTCTTTTAGTGCATGCATACGTGTTCCTCTCACCATAGCGACTTCTGCGTCCTGCGCCTCCTTAATGAAATGGTTCAGGACCCTCAGGTCACAGATGGGTTTCAGTGGGGACGGTAGGCTTGGCCGGGTCAACTCCAACACCACCAAGAGCAAGGCAAGCAGTCCTGCACATCCCAGACACATAAACGCAGTGGTTTAAGTCAAAGCTGAGTGCAAACGAGCTCAGTAAGCAGCGGCTGCGAGACATGTGAGAAAACAACAGACTGACACAATCTTCCACGGGATACAATTTCAGACTGGGGGAAAAACAAAGCAACTTGTTTATCAACCGTCATCATTTTTCACATTTTACATGCCTGTAAGCCTCATGACCTCAGAACGTGCAGACTGACAGATGGCATTGAGGGCTGTGTGATGTAGAAGAAAATAATCATCCCTGCAGCATGATTCAGCAGTATCTCATTCATTTTCTCTCAACCACCCATCTGCAAACATGACATGACATGTTATCGTATCTGTGTGTGTGTTCTATAATTGGGTGTGAGTTGACTGATTTGGAAATCTTGATGTTAAAAGTTAGCACACTCTGAACTCCAGGATATTCTTGACAATCAGAGTGGCTCTACTGTTCGCGTCATGTCATGTGGGCATCCGGCCGTTTTCCTGCATGCCACATGCTGAATGCATCCTTTCACAGCGGCCTCAATGTGTGACGCAAAAGGACGATGGAAAATACAGACGACCTTCCGAGGCAGACAGGCCAGGCACAGGCTAGATTAAACTCCAAGACTCCCAGTAACTAGCACAAATCGAGTGCAAAAAAAAAAGAAAGCTACCAAAACACAAATATAATATTCAAATTATATTGCAGGTTTGATCAGACGAGATGATGTCAAGGATTATAATACCGCTACTAGTAGTACATTACTAGTGTTGCTTTAAGAGGTCAATAGTTATCAATTTAAAGTCCATGCCCCCTCTTCTGCAGTATAGGGTCATAGATAAGACTCAATGACGCACAGCATCAGTCTGTGTCTAACACTGCACATCCTACTCATACTACTCTCCATGTTTCAGCAGACTCTGTTAATGTACATAACAGTGGCAGTGTAGTGACTGCTCCGTTTCCATTAGTAAGGGCAAAGCAGTCTCACCTATAAACCCTGCAGACTCATCAGGTGCTCATTGCATTTTAAAAGACTCATTTAAAGGTTCATTGGAAATGACTGTTTATTCACGCTGAACACAAGCTGTAAACATTACAGGTAAAGAATACTGAATGGGACTAATAACAAAACCTTTCACACAGAGACTCCTCTGCACTGCACTGGGCCTGCTTCCATCCTCATGACTGTTAAGTGGCTGCTACACTTGAGTTTGACACCGGTGAAATTTACCGGCCGACTTTAGCACGTGTCCACTGAAGAGTAAATCACAAACTCTAAATCTTTGGACATGTGGTCCCTTTCAGTCTTCCTATGATACTGTAGGTTTACGAAAGCCTCGGGGGTCTTTCTACATCATCGCTCGTCGCAGAGCAACACTGTGGTCCCACGTGCACTTGTGAACCGCGCTCACTTAAATCATTTGTGACATACATTAAATGAACATGGGAGTTTCAAAGGCAGACGGACCTAATGGCCTCCTTTCAACACACTTTCCAAAACGCGGACACTTTGCTAAATAAGCACGTGTGACTCAGCTTGAGGATTAACTGTGACCTTTTCACCTCCGCCACTGCCTACGTGAGAATGCATCAATCTAAACTGCGTGTGGACACACACAAACACACATTTACACCCCCCCTCTCCCTCTCCCTCTCTACATTCTCACCATGGTGGTGGAATCTGCAGTCCAGGACTGTGGCCAAACTAAAAAGTTAACCGCTTTATCTGCTAACATTAGCTGCCAAAACCATGCCGCTATTCTGAATTGGAAGCAGTCGCTCACAAGTGGATGTTGGAAAGCTTGACATGAGACAGATGCTTTGGAATGGCGACCAGATGCTAATGTGAGATGATGCCTTTGACAAGTGCTATTTTAACGGACACGTGTCCAACAGGTGCACAAAAGAAGAATCTAGCTGGTGGGGCTCTAGTGGCTCAATGGCACAAAGGGCTGATGAGGAGACAGCTGAAGGCTCCCGCGTTTTTGAGCAGGTCTTCCCCATGACAAAGTACAGAGCTGTAAATAAGTAGCTATCAGATGACACAGGTGTGACATAATTTCCTCAGCACCTCTGCTGGAATCCCTTATAGCCGCCAGCCGTCAATAACCTTGTACACTTTGCAGCTGACACGTACGTACAAGTATGTGACGACTGTGCCAAAAACTGCACATTCAGCATTCGCCTTCGGTGCCCTCAGCTCACCACTCTGCTGTGTCATGCCGGAGGAGAACGACCAGAGATCTGTTTTCTCTCTGAGCGAGACAGTAAAACAAACTCATCAATTCTCAGAGACCATTTTATCTTCAGTGGTTTAGAGGAAATACTACATCTGTGGTGTGTGTGTGTGGGAATAAACCCTGCAACTCCAAAACATTTAGTGCCATGCTCTACATAACATGACACCCTGCATCAACCTCTGCAGCAGCTTTAAAATGAAGTCGATCCATTACTAAGTTGGTTCAAAGTCTTCATTTATAGGGAGTTAAATGACACAGTGGAGATCACAGATTAGCAGTGTAGCCCTATGCACAGCAGTTTTCTAGGAACTAGCATTACACACACTATTTCCATTATCTGTGTAAAACAAATACAATGCAGTGGCGTGCAGAAACAGCTCTCACAACAAGAGGAGCGAGGAGTTTGAGCACGATCCCAAGGGACGCAGACCTCCAGAGACGCCTCCAGTGAAGTCAAGACTGGGTGCTCACCCACACACAGCATCTATGAACATACTGACAATCCACATGTCCATAAACAGCCTCTAAAAACTCTGAACGCACAGACGGACGCAGCGCGCAGGCAATGCACCGCACCAAAGTTACGCACCACACTGGATGATGTGACAAGCGCTCTTACCTCTACCCGTTTTCTGCAACATCTACAAACAGCTGCCGCATCTTTCAGACACATCGTGAGAGAATGAAACGCAAGCAGCTCAAGTGAGAGGCGCCGGTCGAACCCAGTAAGTCCAACATGCGAGCCAAGTGCGCGGGACCCGGCGCTGCAGTCCGACCGGCGTGGGGGTCCGCGTCAGAATAGATGTGTGCAGCGGTCACCCACCAGCCTGTGCATCACTGCTGAGCTTTGGCGAAAGCCTTTTATTTAACCTCCCCTTCGGATCGAGCGATAACGTGATGATAGCCCGTCAAGGACGAGTGCGCACCACAGGGAGCGATTAAACACCACCCCATGCATGCAGTCGCCCTTTGCGCAAAGCCTGAAAATAGACTTAAGCCTAAAGACAATCTAGAGAGGAAAAATTAATGAAGGCATGTCCATAACTCACTGGGAAACTCCATAGCGTCTCCCCGCATAGCCCTTCACAGGCTCCTCGCGGTTTGGCCCATAGGTCCGTCTATTGCCCATTAATTGGAAACGAAGCTCTTTTGTGGATCTCTTGCACTTATCCGGTAGGTGTTTCTAAATGCTGATCCCGTTTGATTTTTTTTATTGATGACTTTGAAAATAATGTCGCATTGTTTCTATGACGACAATCTAAACTACCTCCCCCCCCCTAAAGGCAAACAAGAAGTTTTCTTTCATTGTTATCCAAATAATAGGCCATCCCTGTTTATAAAACATTTGGCCTAAAAAGTAAATAATGTCTGGAAAACGAGACTTCCCATCCATTGTTCGGATGATTTTCAGAGACAGTCATTACAGTGGTATATTAAAAAAGATAAACAACTGATATCTGGCTATGATCAAATGAGTCATTCAGTCTTGATTGTCAAAATCACAATTTCTATTCAACAATATGACCGGCATCTGTCACATGGTGCATTCAGGGAGCTCAGACATCTGGCGATCAATTCTTAAACTTTTCTATGAGCTGAGATTTCTTTATTTACAGAGCCTGTGCAGATCAATGTGGATGTTGAGTTGTAGTCTTGTGTGGAATCTGTAACGTGATGAGGTGCCACCCTGCCAATCCAGACACTACAGTACACCACATGACTGAAAGACCCCCACCACCCCCTTTTCACAACACCAGCCTCAAACACTATGGGAGCTGTGTCAAGGTCAATAAGGAACTGCAGGAGCGAGATGGATCCGTTCATTATACAGCACGTAGTATTGTATGGATGGGAAAAAAGTGTGTTCAACAAAAAAATAACAAAACAATCAGATTGCCACTCAACTAAAAATGACTCCTAGTTTTAACAATGGACCAATTTTCTTTGTATCACCTAAATTACAATTTGTCTCATTGGGCTGAAAAAATACATACATCTCTGTCTGTCTTAACAGCGGAAATCAATATTTACATTTATGAGGCAAGACAGTGTCTAATAAATAAATGGAGAGGTGCATCCATGACAAAAGTGGAAGGCGGAGCAGCGATGACCACTGTGATGATGGTGGTATGGCCAGTTATAGTAGGATATATAGGCAGGCACACTGTATATCTAAATCAATGTAGTTGTAATCACAATCCACGGTGTGGCCACAGCCACAGAAACACAGTTAGTGTGCAGCTCCAATAAAATAAATCTCAGGGGGTTTATGGCAGCAGATGAAAAAAACATAGGAGTTAAATAAGAAACAGAGGTGTGTCAGAAGAGAAGTGCATTCCTACAGTCATCGTCCAACCATGCTGGACTTCAATGCTGTTAACAGCTGTACCAAGATGTTGGTGACATCATGAGTCTGAGAGAAGTGCAAAAGTAATAATTCTTCATTCTGTCCTCAGGAAGCCTCTTGTATGTGCTCGGATGATATCACATGGTATTATAGAGCATGACAGTGAGCACCCACTTCTAGAACAGCTCTGGTTCCCGGAAGTAAATTTCCCATTTATTTTCCTCTACTGACATTTCAGAAAATCCTGATGAAATGAGTTTAAAGCCCTGGAACCAGGCCAACCAGCTCCGAGATGAATTGAGCCCAGTATCGAACTCAATTTCCCTACTTGCGAGCTAACCAGCTAGCCCTGTCCTAGCTGTCTCGTCACTTTCCTGACTGCACCGTCATGTCGAGTCAGAGAGCGTATTATGACCTCTTGTCTTCTAAACGCAACAACAATATCCCAACATCACCTCCAACCACGAGATCCCACGTTCTGTGGCAGAGAAAACATATAGCACCTTTAAAGTAGTTTTTTTCCCCCTTTAATCTGTCACCTCTTTATATTTCTCATATAAATGTGCTTTTTCTGTAATCTGTGTTGTGTCCTATGTTTTTCTCTGTACTGTATATGACTAGATGGAGGCTGATAAACAACAGAAAACTGAAAAAGGACAGATTAGTACCCACTATGCTACTGAGGTGTCTAATCAGGACATCTCAGAATATGCTAGAGACAAGAGAAAATCTGCAAGACGGCAATAACCTTGACTTGAACTTGAAACATCAAATCACATATGTCAAACAGACATCTCATTCTAACTTTCCAGGTTCTGCAAATCTCAGGCCGAGAGCACTTTCCTTCCATGATCTCCTCTAGAAAATCCTGATTATTATCAGCATGGATTATTGATGAGATGTTCTCTGACATCCTCTAGTGGATGCTTGGCCTGATGGCCGGCAAACACTGGTTCTATGAAATGACTTCTCAAGTTATGACGATGTTCATCTCTAAAATCAGGATGAATATCTTTAGTGAAGTACAGGGAACTACAGACTGGTCTGAATGGAACTCCAAAGATACCAACTTTACAATAGCATGTTTGATCAAAAATATATTGGATAAAGAAATACAAGTGAATAGAACTAATTAAAAAATTTGAAACCCTTTTGGAATATTGGGGTGAAGTAGATATTAGGAAAAGATGAGGTAACAATTATTTGAATATGTGCCATCATCAAAAACATTTGCTGCAGAAACTTGACATAGAAGACCTTAAATTCTTATTCAGACCTTAAAATCTTATGAGACTTTTGGATGTTTTAATATAATTCCATGAAAAAAAAGGACCACTATTATGTAATGCAATGTAAATTATAAATATCTAGTTGGGGAAGCTCATCCATTCAGTGCAGATGTGCGAAAAGAGCATTTCTATTCTCTGCACAGGCCTGCTTATATCCCATGTTCTCATCCTGACCTTTGACGGCCCTTTTGGAGCCAGCGCAAAGGAAATATATTGAAATTTCCTGGAAGTCTGTGTGTGTGTCATGGTGAGAGTGAGGGCATATGGGGGGGCTTACAGGAGTTACAGGAGGCTTTTCCAATCTGAAGGGAAGTAAAAATATGTTTGTATATGCATTATCAGGGGCCTCTGACACAAATATTTGGAAACGCTGATAAAGGCTTACACAGTACCGCTCTTACTATGGTAAACGCCTACGTGAAGTGCAAGTGCGGCGCACATGTACACATGCATGTGCTAACACAAGTGTACACACAACATACTGACAATATCTGAAATGCTGACATTAACATTATAGTGTGACTAATGTCTATATCAAAGTCCAAGGACAAAGTGATTATTTAAATGAGAACATTACCAAAGGAGTCTCTAAAGCACCTATGGATGTGAAAAACGTAATACTATAAGTCCAGGAACAATAAGCTTTTAACAGGCACTTTCATATGTCATATTCTTCTTGTAAGTAATTTTTAAGTTTACATATCTAGTGTTCTTCTGATATGAGTCAGCTTGAATACTATATGGTTACCACAGTACTATGCTGAGGACAATGTTGACAGATTGTTGCACTGTTTGCTCAAAGGGCTGTTTGCTTATGTCTGAGCCAACATGAGAGAGAGAGAGACAGGAGAGAGGGAGACAAGGTACGTGCTGCGAGCCATGCTCCGTGACCAGGGCAGGGGTTTGGGGGAGGTCAGGGATGTGTGGGGAGTGCGGGGGCAGGGGAGTCCAGTCTCAGTGACTCCTTGGTTGCAATGGGACACAGTTATTGAGGTGATTTAAAAGCGGACGGGCGATGTAAATTTGGGGATGAACCCAAATGCTCTTTCTGTGTACCACACTAGTATGAAACAAATGGGGCTACGGGTGATGCAAAGAACCTACTGAGGGAGAGGCTTTATTGTACTATAGAAGGCAGTGAAAGTGCCCTGCTGTTTACACCGTGTGTGCTTTTCTTTCTCTCAAGGATTTGGGCCTGCTGCCAGCGAGGTCTACCTCTCTGGCGCGACCATAGACTGTATATAAAAGGGCGCGACACAAGACAGGAAGCTGACATAAAAGAGTAAGGGACACAGGAGCCGACGCAGGAGCCAAGACAGTAGCCACTGACGACGTCGGAAGTTATTGTTTCAGCTTGCAGGCATCCACAGTGACGAGAATCTTATCACTCTATTGAACTTACGGTGATCCCATAGTGATGGCCACGAGTGTGGAGAGCATTCCAGGACAGTGGAGTTGATAGTTGAGCTACTTGGTGGGCAACAACACACTGTAGTTGTGTAACTGTAAAGACAACTCCTCTTATAGGCAAATGTAAGGAGAGTTTTCAACTTTTCTGTCTAAACTCGGATAGAGGTAGAGTATATCCTAGAGTTTAAACTTGCCATATACAGTATGCTTGAGTTAGTCTCAGCTGTCAAGCATGATATTACACCACCCGTTTTACTGTAACTACAACAAAACCTAACACTTGAACTTACATCAGATCAGTGTGATAACAGTGACCTAAAATGACAGTCTATGCTTTTTCCAGAATGTGCCTATGCAAAAAATGACAATGCCAACACATAGATTTTTAGTGGATATACCAGCCACCATGTTAACCATATTAGTTTAACTTTACCATGATGACAATAATTAATACAAGTACACACAGGGTGATGGGTACGTCGAACTCAAATTAAAATGTTGATCTGATTGTGGCGCAGTAGGAAAGGTTAGGTATGACAAATCCACCCAAAATGTCTGCAACAGCTTTCAAGAAAATCCATTTGTGCTTTAGAATTTTCACTCACAACCATATATGTTAACCTGCTGGCAGCACCAGAGTCAAAGTCACGGCAATCACAGAATTCACTTTAAAACATTGTCAATCATTCCCTGGGCACTCTTAACATCTGCAGTCCATGCAATAGTTGTCTCACACACGTGCATTTTAGAAAACGTCAGGGTTCACCAAAGCTGGTGAGTTTAATCCTCTCCAAAATTTCATGACAATAATTCAGGACAAGCTATAGTCTGGACAAAAGCCTGTTTTCCACTGGTCAAAAAACCCACTGACACTCGCTAACATCTGGCTGGGATTGGATACAAATTGCATTCACTTCCGGGTCAAATGACTCTGCAGTAGACACTGGCTTGAATCAGCTCCGATCAACGTTGATAGGAAACATGACTCCTCCAGTAAGGAGGGAGAGAGCGAAAGAGAGAAAGAGAGCAACTCTGTGTTCGTGATGTCGAACATGACCCACCGGGAGAGAAAAAAATTTATACAATCATATCCCCGCTCAGTGGGTGTCTTACACTGTTTTTATCTAGAATACAATTCTCATATTTCTGGCTCATTTACAAAGCATTGCCGTTGAAAAGGACTGAACCATACCGGTCTTGAGAACTGACCTTTAGCACTTTACACGGCATCTGTACATCACCCTTCTCCAAATATATGTTCCCCCTTTTTCAGCTTTGCCACCCAACAAGGGAAGCTGTGGCTCAGGGGTTAGACTGGTTGTCCTCTAACCAGTCTCCCCTTTTTGCATGCTGAAGTCTCCTTGGGCAAGATACTGAACACCAAATTGTCCCTTCTTATAGAGAAAAGTGCTGCGGTGAATGGAAAACTGTACTGTAAAGCACTTTGAGTGGTCATCAGAACCAGAAAAGCTCTTTTTATATGGTCTCTTCAGTTCTCCCTGTTGCCAAGCTGCCTTGTGTGGTTTTATTTTCTGGCCTCGTTGCCCCTGGTCTCACACCTTCTGTTATCATTCGTCATTTCCACTTAACACCCACACAGTATGCCTGCAGAAATGTAAAATTCTCTCCTTAAATGTGCACACGTTAACTTTCTCTTAGGTTTGTCAAATTGGGTTATTTCCACTTTCATGTTCCAGCAAAACAACTGTACTGGCAGCACAAGCCTCACAGACAATTACACATTTATCTAACAATAAGTGATAATCTGATTACTCCAGGATATGTGTGCTTTTGAAATTTACAGCCATGGTAAGTGGAGTACAAACACTGAAGCATTATTCTAGGGCTCAATGTCTCCCCCATGCTTTGCTCTAATTTAACTTTCTCCATTTGCACCCATAGAAAACAACAACATACTGTATGCAAGGGTGGGGGGTCCAGCCACGGGGCCAAATGTCGCCTGCCAGACAGTTTGATGTGTTCCATTAAGCTGTTCATAAACTTTCACTAATACAAAACCTCAGAAATATAAAATTATTCTCATACCAACAATGACTTTTTTCTTCAATTAAAGAAAATAACAAAAGTAAACTAACACCCCCTGTGGGTCCAGCTCACGGTGATCCCAACAGTGGCAACAAGGAAGATGGGTAAGAAAACGAAGGTGCGAAATGCCTAGCTTTTGTCGACATGAAAAAAAAAAAAAATTCTATTTTTGTTGACATATAAAAGACAAGCCAGTGTGTGTAGTTTAAAGGGACATATAGCAGTGATTTAAAAAAGGATCTTGAGTGTCAATACAGTTGAAAATATGCAGTTGAATTAGTAGCGGATTAATGACAATATGAAGACACTGAAGAATACAAGATGTCCATAAAACAGAGAAATCCTGCCCAACTAGCCTTTTTTGTGCGACTAACCGAAGGAAGGAGTTCCTGTCTCGAAGCTCAGGAAAACCGCCCTCTGCTCTCTATGCATGTCCTGAGAATTGAAATGACCCGTGAAGGAAAAAAGGTTCACCACCCCTGTTCCAACGTGACCTCAGCGTGTGGATTCCCCCTGTGTCTTGTTTTGCATCCAACAAAAATTCCTGTTGCTTTCTTATCTAATCCACCTCTGAGTTTTTTTTTTCCTCTTCACAGCATAAGCTTCTCACAACTTCCTGGCTGCATTGAAAAAAAGGAGGGGGGGGGCATTTAAGATGAGAAAAGTCAGTCACTAGAGTCACACAAGGCAACGTGGGAATGGGTCTTAACCTTTCTGAGAACAGACATCAGAATATTAGAACAGCGTGATAAGATGGCATAACCGACAACATATACGAGCGGGGGACTCCGCGACCAATTGCAACAATTGCAACTCCAGTGTCTTGTACAAATACTGTATATAAATGGACAGTGTCTCTATTTCCTCCCACTATCAAGAAACAAAGCCAAAATATCCTGGATATGAATGCTGCCATCTTGCACATTTGGAGCCAGAGTCTGCACAGTAGCGATCTAGGGGTGGAGTCTTGGTATCAAGGCGTGTCGATACATCATACATCTCAGGTGTCAATCACAACTTATTACAACCAAACCACTTGAACATACTGCAGTGGGATAAGAATGACCTCAAATGTCAGAATCCACTTTGTGACATCTTGATATGAGCTTTGACTTTTTAATTTGGTCCATGTCCCATCCACTAACATGAAGGAGGTGGGGTTTATGAACTATATTGTAGCCAGCTATCAAGTAGTGATTGAGACGATTTGGCTTCACTTCACTTTACTTCACTTTATATATAGTCTATAGTGTTGTATGACATCAGTTTTTCCCCAATGTTTCCTAGAAAGGATGTTTTAAACAATGGATTTTTCTGAGTTATGGAGGGACGTATGTTTACTGCACAGGAGTAGGAGTAATATGGCGGGGTGGATTTGCAACTGTGGGAACACTGGAGAAAGGGGTTCATATTCTGATTGTAGCATGTTGTTAGATTTAGGCAACAAATCTAATTTGGTAAAAGCTATAAGCAAAGGTCCTGTTACGGTTAAATTATGCCAAACACTGGTCTCATGCTTCAAGTCTAATTTGGCTAATTATTTTTCCCCAAACCATACCCATAAAATATTGAGGGAAATATTCCACCACAAGAGGATATTGTAGGGGAAAATGGGTTTTCAGTGTTGCAGAGATTTATTCTATATAAACATTTTGCCATGCACCAGATATGTTAACTGACAAAAAAAATCAATATCCCGATCACATCCTATTGGCAGTGGAAGGGTGGAGATAGTAAAGATTGCCAGCTGGAATCAGTTAAAGATAAATATTTTAAAAACGAACCTCAACAAAATTAAAACCAAAAGACTTTGGTTTTAATTAATGTCTATGTTGAAAAGATAAATAAAACATTATCTGATGGGCCATGCATCACACACTCCAGTGTAATACATAAGAACATTTGATGCAACAGCACGGGAAAACATCAACCGCACTAATACAATGGAGGTTAGGGAAAAGTCAAGCATGCTCGATGTCTTAAATTTAAGAAGCTATTTATTAATAACTCATGCAAGGCTGCCAAAATACTATACTACCTCATAATCTGTATGAAACTAAAGTTGGTTTACCAAAAAAAAACCCTTGCATGCGTGTGAGCTCACAACAGATGCAGCACACAATTGATGGAAAAGATTACCAGAGCAAAAGTGTTGAGAAGGTTCACATTTACACGTAAATACTTGGAGTAACTCCAACTTTACAATAGTATTTAAACAGAAGCGTCCGAACCTCTCTCCATTGCATAGATATGAATTCTCCTGACAGGTAAAACCACAAAGCCAAACATTATAAATGTAGACTGCTCAGCTTCAACTCTTCCATTCACAACAATTCTGACTAACAAGTGATGAGTGAAAGGTCAGCCTTTTCCAAAACCAGTAAGATCCCCCACAAAATACAATTGCTAATTACATCAATACAGTGGATTGTTCTCAGAGACAAAGATCAAGAATAACTGTTGTCCTGATGTCATGGAATAAGACACTGCGCCATTAAAATCCACCAGGTTTCCCATTTGGTCTGTCACATTTCCTCTCACGGGACTAGATAAGGGTTTCTACTGACAGAGAAACAGTGGAAGCAGAGTACATCGAGTACATGGCTGCGGAGCTGTCCCATTCTTACCCTGATGTCTGTTTATTCTAGATCGCTTGTTGCCTCTGAGATATTTTAAGTTCCATTGTGGTGCTTCAGCCTTTTTGTGGAAATTCCTCATGGGTTTGTTTTCTTGGCTATTAATTTTAATGGCTGAAAGAAATACTACTCATTCTTCAGTCAGGCTGAAACTACTACTTGTCAGTCTGATGAGAGACATATTTACAAACAGGATTTCTATCAAGTCAGCTCACAGACACGCTGAGCCAACTAAATAAAAACCCAGACCGTGGCAGCTTGGAATGTTTCTAGTATTTTATAGAAAAATGTAATCATGGTAGTAAAAATTGGTTTGTTTATTCCTCTTGGGGCTAAATAAAGCTTTCTCAAAATAGGCATCTTCTGCTCAGTCAAAAAGGAGCAGCACTAGCGCACTCTGCTGGCATACACATGGAATTGTTTTACTACATGTAGACACAAGTTACATGTGGTTTAAAGAAACAAATTTGGGTTGTAACTTTTAGCTGACAGCGAGATAATGAACACATCATTTGCCAATGCTTGCCTTTTCATTTCTTCTGCATATAATCCAACATATTCTGTTAAAGCAAATCACTGCTGTAAACGGCCTCCAAGGGTTCAGAGTAATCAGAAAATAAATCCTCACATGAAGGGGCTTTAAATGTGTTTAGAAGGAGTATAAATCTGTAGAGCCAACGCAGTAGTAGGCTATTCATGCCTTTGAGCTTTGCATTTTCTCTGAGGGATTAGAAACAAGAAAAACAATATGTGATAAATGTTTTATTGGTCAACTCCCCAGCTCTCAGCAGTCCCTGTACCCACCTAATAGTCAAGTTGGAAAAATGCTCTTCAGTGACTGACTGACAGATGACCAGTCCAATGGGAGGATGGCAGGGTGTGAAGAGGTCCGACTGTTGTGTCCGCCTCATGCRTTGTTTCTGTCAAACATACACACACACAACTAGTTTAGAGACCATATAACTGCATGTGCTTCACATCCATAAAGGTTGCTATGGCTACCATCTGCATTCAGTACAACTGGTAAAAGTAACCTAAAAAACCTGTAAAGTTCATAGGAAAACCTTTATGGGGTGAAGTCTTGTGGACAGTGTCGCCAGTATTCCCCACTCCAGTGGGTCTCAAGCAGTCGTCAGAGTCACAGCATTCGCACAGAGCATGGTCCCCCTCTGTGGCACGCCACCTGAGTGACAGAGGAACATCCGAATAATACTGTGATGCCTTTATACGCATTAAGATAAAACTAGTGCTGCACAATTTGATATGAAAAGACATATTGCGATTATTGTGGACGGTATTGCAATGACAATATAATAAATGGTGTTTTGAATAACAGTGCTTGGTTCTCAAAGAAAATGCACAGCTCACTGATTATTTAAGGTATATTTCATCATAAGACGTATGAGGTCAAAGTATTTTTGCCAGGTGACTAAACCGAATGAACAAAAACCATGATGACAGTTCTCTACTGCTCTGGAGACAGTGCACACTGCAGTGACTCCAATATAAGACAGGATTAGTACAGACAATAATAAGTTCACTACAACAATGGAGCTCACATTATGCATTACGGGTTGTATGTAGCGTAATTATGTTGCGAGGCCAGTGAGTATTTTCAAGCCTGTCTATTGTGACTACTCCAGTGATAATTAGCCTTTAAAGTGTTTGTTTGGTCCAAGTTGGTCCAATCGTGCAGCACTAGTTCAGACCAATGACGAACTGATTCAACATTGAACTCCGCTAGATGCAGCCTAACCTGAATGAGGGCCTATGGAAGTAGCAGGCTTTGTTAAGGTGGCTCTGGGAGTTTTGTTTCGGAGTGGCCCTCAGGTGGCAGCTGATGAACATCTTGAAGAACAAAGCCAAATGAATAAAAGTGCATTTGATCCAGGATTGATTTCAGCAATGTGATGAATACACTTGTGCACGATTTATTATAATGCAAATGAAAAACACTTGCTATAGGATGAATTCAAAAATAAGAGAGATGAATTCCACAAATAGTATCTTTGTGCTAAAATAGTTAAACCATTGTCATTCGGAAAGTAATTACACAGCAACTGCCCAATGAGGTGTTGTTACCTGTTCCCCAGAATCCTGCTTGAAGTGGAAGGCCTGGACACTGAAGCACAACATGTTTTCTTGCTCCCGCAGGTGGAATTTAGATGAAGACCCTGGTAATACACTGTCTACAAGACATCTGGAATGATGAAGAAACACATCTAATTTAGACATGATGATTCCAACAGAGCTTTGCTTCCAACCCGGTCCCAAACACTGAAAGATGACCCAACCTGGCTGAGGATCCACTCAATAGACTCAATGTCACATTTGAATTCTTGGGCTGAACACTTTGCAATATGAAACACTTTTGTTACCTCCGCCAAAAAGATTATGTTCTCATCGGCAATTGTGTATTTATCTGTTATTTAGCAGCACTGCACAAAAACTACAGGAGGGATTGCCTTGGTGGGTCAGGGGAGAACCCATTACATTTTGGTGCAAATCTGGATCAGGGTGAGGATCCAGTTTTTTCCCCACTTCCTTTAACATTACGAGATATCACAATATTTACAATAATTTATTGTAATTCATGGATCTTGACGTAAAATAAAAAAGTTTTAGGGGACTGATATTTGAGCAAATTGGTGCAGATCCAATTTAAAATTCATGAAGTTACAAATGATATCCTAAGGGGACTGCTGGGCCTTTATGCACTCTACAGAGTACCATTCTGTGTTGAGTTTAATACTTTGAACCAGCCACAAATGCATAGAATGTTTGAGTCAGAAGGTCCGACTGACCCATATTTGGTGATAAACTTGTAGCTTGGCGAGGAGAGAGGGTCGGGCTTCAGTGTAGCAACACAGTAGTCCACATATACAGTGAGTGGAGGGTGCAGCGGCGCCTCCACGCTGGCCTCCAAAAACACTGCTTCCCCCTGCTGGTACACTGAGGTATTACGTAGAGAGGTGCAGTCATCTGTATGAGGACATCACTTGTTTTAAAATTCTGTTTCAATCTCATATTATTTAGAAAGAAATATTGACACATACTGATGACAGAGAAATCTTCCACTGATACAGTCAAAATTGAGAGTGAGTTTTCACCTGCCATGGTACGTAGGGAGGAGTGCAGAAGGCCAAATACACCGATAGTGGATGTCATGGGTTGCCAGGTTGGAGTTAATGCATCTGCATTCACTGTCTGCTTTCTGCGCTGACAAAAAAACGAGGCACGGGTTATAGAGTTAAAGTGCTGATGGCAGCTTATTACAACCAACATTGCTCAGATCCAGTAGTTCTCAAATGGTGTGCACACTGGTGTGCCATGAAATAAGCCCAGAAACACTGTGGGATTTTGAGAGAAATGTACAATATTATAATTGCTTCAGGGCTCCAGAGTGCATTGGAAACAGACCAACACTGTAAAACCAGGGACAACGTTGATTCAGGATCAGAGCAGAAGCAGCAATTTAGTCTGGAGCCCTGATACAAGATGTTGTATGATTAGTTTTTAATTTAAATTATTATTTTTATATATTTCATTTCTCAACACATTCCTTACCCCAAAAAACCTTMGGAACTCTTCAGAATTATTAGTGTGTGACATATCGAAGACCTTGATTGACAGCCAGTGTGAAGGAGAGCGACCATAGAACGGGGGTAAAAGTGGATGCTAATGTGGGTTTTGAATGAATAAGAATACAGGTGTGCCAATGAAATG